TACTTTCACATTTGCCAGTTGGGGAATAGCTGTTATTCTTATAAAAATTGAATCTGTTCTTCATATCTTGGAAATGAAGCCTTTGTCACAGCATCTTGCTGCAAAGGATTTTTTTCCCAGTTAACTGTTCCCCTCATAATTTCAACAGCATTTGGGGTATGTGTGTGTGTGTGTGTGTGTGTGTGTGTGTGTGTGTGTGTGTGTTTAAAATCTTTTCAATTTCATATAATTAATATTGGCTATTTAATTCTGCGATGCTCATTAGCCTTTATTTGGTCACAAACTTTTCTCTATCAATATAGCCAAACAAACTTGCTTCTCTAGTTTGTTTTTTGTTTGTTTGTTTGTTATGTTTTGGTTTGTTTTTGGAGGCATTCAGTGAGGTTAAGTGACTTGTCCAGGGTCACATAGCTAGTAAGTGGCTGAGGCCAGATTTGAAACCGTTCCTCCTGATCCTGGGCCAGTGCTCCATCTACTGGCTTCTTCAGTTTTTAATTTTAATTTTAAGTGATGTGACCTTTTAGAACTAAGTCGCATATTCATTTAGTGCTTGTATTGCTATATGATGTAAGGTGTTGGTCTAAGCCTAATTTCTTACAATTTGCTTTCTAGTACTCCCAGAAGTTTTTATAGAATAGCGCAGCTAAAGTCTTTGGGTTTATGAAATACCAAGCTACTAAGTTCTCTTGCCTCTATTTTTAGTTTGCCTAATTTGTTTTACTGATTGATTTCCTCTATTTTTAACCTATACCAAATCACGATGATAACTACTATTTGTAGTATAGTTTGAGATCTAATAGGTCTCCTTCTCTTAAAAAAATTTGCCTTTGAGATTCTTGTTTTTCTAATCATATTTTATTCTTCTTAACTTAAACACCAAAAAGAGAACATTTGCATACACATAGAGAACATCAAAAAATATGAATTATTATTTTCATTTATTAATATTATTTGAACCTAACTTTACATGACTAGAGATTGTTTGAACCCAACATGTGGACCTCACCTCAGTAACTCTCCAGGAGTGCCAGAGATTGCTACAAAGAATTTGGAGTTCCCCTAGTCCTGTATCTACCCCAAACATTCTTTTTTGGCCCCCCTTCACCCAGGTCTTATTTTGGGTCCACCCAAAGTTGTGTTTGGGATTCCCTTTGTGTCTTGGCTTCACCAAAATGTTATTGAATGCTTACATTTACTGATATCCATCTCAATCTACCTTGCTTTCCTGTTATCCTCTCAGCAAAATTGCCTAACTGTATACATGTGGTTCATGTGCAGCTGTCCTTGTCGAAATCCTATATAATGTAACCCTTTCAGAGCCTGGATAGCAGGGAGCCACACCTATTTTTTGGCTCACTCTCTTATAACAAACAATCTAATAAGTTTCTTTCTAAAACTATTTTAGATTTTGGGTCTTATTCTTGTGAAAAACAAGAGGAATACACATGCGCATATATGAAACAATCTCCATTTCACAATACTTTAAAAAATTATACATAATAAATTTTAGGTGGCTTCATTCTTTTTTGCACATTACAATTTTCTTCTGAACTTCTATCTGTTCTATGCACTTTAAAAATGTCTCAATGTCTCCCCTTTTTTGACATCCTTAACTACTTTTTTCTTTCTTTTTTTCCTTTTTTTAAAAAACATTATTTTATCTTTAGCTCCAAATTCTCTCCCTTCCTCTGCTATTCTCCCACCCACTGGAAGTAGATAGCATTTTTCACCATGTGTCCTTTGAAATTGTGGTAGATTACTATATTGATCAGAGCTACTAACTTTTCCCCCATTGATTATCTTTTTAATATTGCTAATACTATGTAAATTGTTCTCCTGGTTCTGCAGATTTAATTTTGCATCAGTTCATATAAGTCCTCTCAGGTTTTTCTGAAACCATCCCCTTTATCATTTCTTTTTTTTAAGTTCTTAAATTTATTTTAAATTTAAGTACAAAATTTAAAAAAAAAGAAAAAACAGTGTCATGTATGCATCAGGATATGATAGAGTATTCAATATAAAGCAATACTTTCCATTTCAAGAAAACCTACATAATAAATACTACATATTATTTTCAAAGCTGTCTGGCTTTGCTTTTTTGTAGGTTTCCTTTTGTTCTCTTCTATGCACTTTTAACTATTTCCCCCCTCTTTTCCCCCCCTAAAAAGAATAACTAAGTGTGGGTACATACACACACACACATATACCTATGCATGCATACACACATATATGTATACACACATAAACATCTATACATATATATGTATACATATGCATATATATCTATTAACATACACATATATACACTCATACACATATGTGTAAGACTGTACTATGTTTATTTCTGCTTGTCATCTATTTCTCTGGAGGTGGGTAGCATCTTCTTTCTCTTTTTTTTCTAAATCAACAAATTCAGCATTTCCTACAGCACAGTAATATTCCAACCCAATCACACTCTATGTGACAGACTGTCTATGAACAGTTTCCCCACCCTGAAATTTTCTGCCTTCTTTCTATTTTTGACTGTGTAGGTTTTATATACATAAGAAAATTTTAATTTAAAATAATTGAAATTATCTGTTTTACCCATCAACAATGCTCTTATGTAATAGTATGGTTTAAGGTCTGATACTACTGAATATGCTTCCTCTACACCTTTTTTTTTTACCTGGTTTCTTTGAAGTTTCTGATCTTTTGTTCTTATAAATAAATTTATTATTTTTTTCTAAATCAGTAAAATAATATTTAACAATTTAATTGGGATGGTATTACATAAATAGGTTAATTAGGTAAAATTGTTGTTTTGTTTTATCAAATTGACTTTACCTACCCAAGAACAATAAATATTACTTCAATTATTTAAATCTAACTTTCTTTGTATAAAATGTGGTGTATGTTTATATTCATATGGTTCTTGTGTCTGTTTGGTCATGTATAATCTCGGGTATTTTATACTGTCTAGTTATTTGAAATAGCCTAAACCAATATTGAATAATATGGCCGACATATAGTGTAGTTTCCCTATTTTCTCTTTTGATTAAATCTATTTTAGCTTTAACTTAGTCTGAAATCATTACTACCCCTGATTTTTTATATATAATAAATTCTATTTTATTTGTGTTTGTGTGTAGCTCTCATTTTTATAGCATTTCCTGAAAGAAATATATTGTGGAATTCAAATTTTTAATTTGCTATCAATTTCTATTTTTTAGGTAAATTGATCCCATTTACATTCTAGGCTATAATTACTTGTTGTATGTTTTCCTCCTTCCTATTTTTCCTCAGTATCCTTTTCACCCTATTCCTATCTATTCTCACCCCCCCCTTACCTTTACCTGCTATCTTGCCCTCCTACCCCTCCAAGAATCCCTTCCTTAACCTCTCCCTTAACCCTATCTCCTTGCCCTCTTATTTCACTCTGAATTTAGGATATTTTTATACCTTTCTAGATATATGTGTTGGCCCCTCTTTAACCCATTCCCAATCAGACTATGGTGTCAGTACCACCCACCCTCCCTACTACTAGCTTTTTCTGTATCAATTTTTCCTTTTTTGCCTCATTAGTGTGAGATAATTGCTCCTTTTATGTCTCCCTACACAGTTTTATTTTTTTAATCACCCCATCATATTCAGCTTAGCCCAAGTCTTTCTTTCAAACTACCTAAATAAAAATGACAATCATAAAAGAACTGATGATATTTTCATATATAAGAAACAATTAGACCTTATTGTATCCCTTATAATTGGTCCTTAATGTTTACTTTATACTTCTCCTCAATGTTACATATTTAATTTTACCTTAAGTTCTGCTGTTTTTGTTACAAATATCTGAAAGTCTTTCAGTTCGTTAAGCGTTAGGTTTTTTTCCCATTCATGATTACACCTAACTTTGTTGGATCAGTTATCCTTGGTGGTAACCCTAGCTCTTTTGCTCTAGCAGCTAGATTTTGTGCAATCCTTTGCCTAACCCCTCCCACCTGCAGCTTGGCCATTTCCCTTGCCTTAGTACCCTATATAAACCCTGTTCCTAGCCCCCACCCCCCCACCCTAGCACTTGCTTTGTGGCACCCCAAGATGCAGCTCACTTGCCCCAATTAAAGACCTCCATTTTGCTATATTGGCTGTTTTCTCATGAATTCAGGTTGCCACTATAATTGTTTTTAAAATGATACATAAACCACTAGCTAATTTGATTGCAACTCCTAGTTTAATTTATTGGAGGCCTACAGTAGCTTAGTGGATAGAGCACTGTGCCTGGAGTCAGAAAGACGTGAATTGAAATCCAGCCTCAGACACTTCCTATCTTTGTGACCCTGGGCAAATCACATAACCTCTGATTGCCTGACAAAATGGATTCCCTGAAGAATGAAATAGCAAACCATGCCAATATCTCTGCCAAGAAAACTCCAAATGGGGTCACAAAGGGTCAGATAAGACTGAACGATAAAAGTTTTATTTATTAATTCAATGTTGTTTTTGCTTTGTTTTGTTATTTTTTTCCCTCTATATTGTCTTTTAAATGTCAGTCTAACAAAAGACTGCAGGTAGAAAAGGAAACAAATCATCTTACACAGATTCCTTAGCCTTGCCTCAGAGTAAGAGTAGGAAAATCGATACAGATTTAATTTAGGGATGCTTAACTAATATTTTGATATCTGCATTTGAAAACAACTGCTTTCCTCTGTAATGCTATGTATTTTATTTAATGTGCTCAAAAATATTATTGTGAGGAGTCCCTAGCTTTTACAGATTATGTGAACAAGGGATCTAAACACACACACACACACACACACACACACACACACACACAGAGGTTAACACATGAACTCAAAGTTTCTCAAGTGAGGGAAGGAGAGTCTGTGAAAACCTGAGTCGAAGAATCCAAGAGGGAGCGAGCACCTCTGGTGGAACCGAAAGTCATCCGCCTTAGCTGGGTGGCTGCCCTCTGGCGGTTGGCTTGTGTAATCAGTAGAGACTGGATTTCCAAGAAAAGGAAACCAAAAGAGTTTTCTAAACTAGTGGGAAGAAGCCCAGAGCCAGGGCTGGAGGAGAGTATGGAGATCCCAGGCTCTTTCCCTCTGGTGCTGGAGGGGCCCTGGGGTCCCGACCCTCCCAAGAAGTTGCGCAACAAGTTGCAATGCTACTTCCAGAGCCCCCAGAGATCCGGAGGGGGCGAATGTGTTCTCACACTGCAGACCGGCCGCTCTGAGATCCTTCTCCTCTTCGAACATGAAGAAGGTGGGTGGTGAATTAAGCTGTGTAGGAAGGAGGTGGAACAGAGGCATATCAAGTTGGGGAGGGTGATGAGAACCCTGAGGATGTCAGAGCTGAAGAAGACCTGAGAGATCATCTCGCTCAATTTTGATTTGACAGAAATGGTAACTAAGACCTAGAAAGCGGAAGAGTAGTAAACAACCGAGGCAGGAATAGTACTCGGGGTCTCTGACTCCACAAGATGTGCTCTTTAACTGTGGCTCAGTGACATCCTTCCTACCTACCTTCCTTCCTTCCTTCCTTCCTTCCTTCCTTCCTTCCTTCCTTCCTTCCTTCCTTCCTTCCTTCCTTTTCTGCCTTTTTGTCTCTGTGTTTCTGCCTCTCTTTGTCTCTCTGTCTTTCCCTATCTCTCTGTCTCTGTCTCTTTCTCCCATTATTCAATGAGCTTGTTTTCATCTATAGATTTCTGAAGGAAAACAAAGTAGAAAATATGTCCAAAATATATAAAAGTCAGGTCTGTGCTGATTTCTCTATTTACAGGCATAAAGGGAAATGGAAGTGGGGAGAAGAGTGGGTCGTAGCAGCCTCCGGAAGCTGCAGCTGTCAGTTTAGGGAGCTTTGCAGACACAGCCCTGGCCACATAGCACTGGGCAGCAGGAATAGCACCTTTTCTTGCAGAGATGTAGCAGCACAATTTAAAGGCACCTGCACAGGTATGAGAACCACTGCTCACAGTGGCGTCCCTGGCTGGCAGGGACCAGGCAGGTAGCTCTCTCAGAAGGAGGACTGACTGAGTGGCTAGAGAAGAGTTGGCTGCTTGAGCTACACTCACATTTATATAGAACCCACTCAGCTGCTCAGAAGTCTTTTGCAGCTCTCATGGGCTGGCATTGATTGCCAAACTTTTTGATACTGTATCCTTATCTACTTTTAAAAAAAAGTTGAGTACATGCCCTCAATATATGTATGTTTTCTTACAAATTATATACATGTGTTATGGTGCTAATAATTAGGTACATTACACAGCTTACACAGAAATTTTAAATGATGAAATGAAGATGAAATGCATTTGATTCTAGTCTCAATAGGGAGCCCTTGGAGCCTATGGAGCAGGGAAATGGCATGGGTACATCTGTGCAAGACTGGAGTGAGGAAAGACTTAAGACAGAGAGACCATTTAGGATAGGCTAAATGTTGTCTTAGTCTAGGAATAGGTGATAAGGGCTTGAATCAAGGTAACAGCTTTGTGAGTAGAGAGAAGGGGTCTCATAAGAGATGTTGTTAAAAGCAGAAAAGGCAAGATTAATCAACCAACTAGTTCTGGGGGGTGACGGAGAATGAGAAGTCAAGGATGACACTGAGGTTAGGAATCTAGGTGACTTGGAAGGATGGTGGTTCTTTTGACAGAAAAAAAGAAATTTACAAGAGAACTGGGTTTGAGGAGAAAGATGATAAAAAGAAATTTGAAATGTATATCACAACCCATTGATGCTTACTTATTCTGTGAGACTTGCTCTGCTCCACTGAACAGGAAAAGTGGACTTGGGGCTCTTGCCCACCAATAATAGCTTCAGAGCACAGGGCCTGCCTTCCAAAGGGTATTTGCCATAGCCACCAAGTATGATCCGGTGACAGGCTGGGCAATTCAGATCTGGAAGACCTGAGTTCAAATTTAGTCTCAGATATTTAGGGGTGTGTTTTCAGGTAAGTCACTTAATCTCTGCTTCAGTTTTCTTATCTGTAAAATGGGGATAATAATAGCACCTACTTCCCAAAGTTGTGAGGATGAAATAGGATAATGATTGTAAAGCACTTAGCACAGTGCCTGGCACATAGTAAGTCCTATATAGATGTTAGTTGTTGCTGTTGATGTTGTTGTTAGGACAGGAGGTGAATCTTCAGGGGTTGTTTTGTCATTTTCTTTCTTTTGCTGGAGAGGCAATTTTTCCAGTTGCAACTGCAGTTTCTAGTTGAGTGCTCCACAAGTGGTACAGTTATAATTGGCTTGAGAAGCCAACAGCTGGATCAGAAGGGGAGAAGTTGGAAACTTGCCCAGTCATAGGGATGGTTGAAGTAAGGCAGTGCTGAAGGATAGGTATAGGTGTAGTACTGCTGGAAAGAAACCCCATGATTGTCTGTCACAGAGAAAGTGAGATGTGAACCATCATCCCATCTTCTAATTACTCACACACCCCTTGTGCTCAGTCTCCTCAAAACTATAGACCCCTAGGAAACTTCAGTCCCCGCTTTGAAGAACAGTGGTCTATGCGATAAAATGCAAACTCCTTAGCCGGGCATTCAAAGCCTATAATGGTCTGGCTTCAACTACCTTTTTAACCTCATTTCATGGTATTCCCCTTCATTCTATGCTCCAGGCAAAACCGTCATCTTATTTTGCTTTGCCCCTCTCTTTCTTCTCCTCTATACCTTAGCCTTTCTATAGAATATCCTGACCTCCAACAGTAGACTTCTCGTACCCTACCTTCATCCCAGTTTTCCTATTGATATCCTTTCTCCTTTTTTAAGACCCACTTTTTCCATGAAATTTGAAAACCCTAATTCTCCAAGCTAGAAATGATTGATTCCTCCTTTTTCTCTGAGGCATTCTGTTTGATCACTCCAGGCACTCAATCATTTTCTGCTGTGTATTATAGTTGGTTTTGTACCAGGCTCAACTCCTTACTTGTAAGCTCCTTGAAGGTAGGGAGGAGGTCTTTGTGTCCTCCCTATACCTAATAGGATTTTAATAAAGGTTGGTCGAATATAATTGAATAGACAATTCTCAAAAAAAAATTACAAACTATTAACTATCATATGAAAGATTTGAGAATGGCTGGCAATAAGAGCAATGCAATGAAACAATTATGAGGTTTCTGTGACACCAAGCAAACTGACAAGATGACAGAAGGCAGAAATAGTACATTTAATAATTGAAGAACAGTTTAGAAGTGGTTTTCCTCACCTCCACTCTCTAAAGAACTCTGTAACAAACATTAATATGCCCCTCCTACACGTGAGGAATCTTCTTGGTTTCAGAGCAGGCAAGGTTATCTACTGAGAGAAGGTCAGAATGGAAATGGAATTCGAATTGGTGGGATTTGAGGAGAAAGATGTTTTGGCAGATAGTCAAAAGGAAGTATGTGAATCTGTCAGAGATGGAGGGGGATGAAAAGGGTTTACCTGCAACTGCGAGGGATGGGTTGATATCAGGTAGAATGCATTCATTGTGGTTAGAGTTATCAATTTTATCCATTCGGTTCCAGGAACAAAAACACAGAAATATAATAGGACTAATGGACTCAGGTTGTTGATGAGGAAATGAAACTAGGTAGCTCAGTGGACAGAGAGTTTGGCCTGGAGTCTAGAAGACCTGAGGTTAGATCCAGCCTCAGGCACTTAGCAACTTGGTGACCTTGGGCAAGTCATTTAAGTGGAGCTTCCTCACCTACAAAATGGGAATATTAATAGCACCTACCTCCCCAGAGTTATTGTGAGGACCAAATGAAATATGATTGTAAAGCTTTAGCACAGTTCCTGGCACACAGTAAGGGTTATATAAATATTAGTTATTATTAGATCAGACAGAGATCAAAGGGGAATAGGAATCATGGATGTCCTGGGAGCATGCTTCACCATCAGTTATCTGAAAGAAAGGCCTTTTTCTTTTTTTAAAAATTGATATCTTTTGTTTTTATTTTAAATTTAATTTGATTTATTATCAATGAACACAGATCTATTTTCTCTGCTTTCCACATTCAAAAAAAGAATAAAAAAAATACAAAATTCTTGTAACAAATTTGTGTAGTCAAACAAAGTCATTCCTTCATTGATTGTGCCCAAAAATTTTATGTTTTAATCTATACTCTGAGTTTATCATTACTCTGACAAGAGCTGGGTAGCATGCTTCAGTCACTGTATGACCTCTGGTCACTGTGTTGATCAAAGTTCTTATGTCTTTCCAAGTTGTTTGAAATTTACAGTGTTGTAGTTATGGTATTAATTGTTCTCCTGCTCACTTCCCTGCATCAATTTATACAAGTCTTCCCAGGTTTAAGAGAGATCCTTTTTCACAGGTGATCTCTTGAGTAGCTTTCTTTACAGAGTAACTACATTTCCTGACTGATCAACAGAAAAGGGTTAGTCATGTGTTACTCCTCTTAGTCCTAACTAGTCCACCTTGCCTCTCCTGTCCTGTGGAATCTTCACCCAGCTGCCAATTTGATTAAACACAAGTCTTGCCATCTCACTCCACAGTTTGTGAAGCTTCAGGAGCTCCCTATTGCCTCTAGGATAAAATAGAGTTCTTTTGGTTGGCATTGAAAGCCTTTCATAAACTTTGAGACTGTTTTAACATCACTTTTGCTCATGTACTCTATCTTCCAGCCAAAATACCTGTCTTGTAGTTCCTGGTACATACATGCCATCTTTAATCTTCATGCCTTTGTACAGGCTCCCCCCTGGAATGCCTGGAATGTTTCCTCCTCATTTTGGATTCTTGGATTTCCCATTCCCCTTTAAGATCCAGGTCAAATGCCACCTTCTACAAAGCTTTCCCTCATCCTTCCCTCCCGCTCCCCAGTTGTTAAAAGAGCCACATCCACAGATGAACCTATTAAATATTTATTTTTTGTGTGTATAGCTTTTTATGCAGATACTTTAGTTAATGAAGGGCAGAAAAGGACACTGAGAAAAGCAACCTGACAAAATTCTAAGGACCCGAGAGAAAAGAGTCCCCTAAGAGGATCTTTTTTTCATAGCAGCCTCCGAGGCAAAAGCAATGACTGCATTGCATTATCATCCATCAATTATCTTACAAATGACAATTTTCAGGGTTTTGAAGGGTACAGCAGAGAAACTATAAATTAAAGACCTGTTTGGGCATTATTGGAAAAGTGTACATTGCTTGTTAGTGTTACACCTGATAGAACTGTTGATTTTGGTTTTCCTACCTGTGTTAGGATGGGTTACTACTTATGGTGAAGCTTTGATTTGAAGCTTTAGAAACCAGTTAAGCAGAGAAAAAGCCAGAGATCAGAAGAATGAGAAGACACAGCAGCTGCCCAAAGAAGGAAGCTAAGGATGGAGAGAGAAAAAAAAAAGGGTGACTACTTGCTGCTGCTTTAAAGAGGTAGAGCAGAGGAGAATCAGAAGATAAAGGCAGCTACTTGGAACTGGTGAGAGATAACTGCTGCCAGACAGGCTCTGTTAGCTGTTGGGAGCTCACAAGGAAAGAAGAGCTGACTTTGCTTGTTTGTATTGCTCTTTACTGCCATCTACAATTTGAAAGCTGACTGAGGCCAGTCTTACCCTACGGCTGATGGAAGAGTTATTTTCATTCGGAAGAGCTCTGTAGTAACTGAGAGTACATTGGAGATAACAGAATTCTTGGGTAGAGTTGACTGGGGTTGTCTCCATAGCTCTTTACTGCCATCTACAGCTTTTGAGAGGGAAAAGCCCGTAGGGACCCAGATAGTAACTAGTCTAAAGGGCTTTTGTACTTTGCAGACTTAAGTGAAGTAAAGGCCTTTGAGTTCTCATTGCTTCAGTGGCCAGCCAAGGGAACAGAACAGTTTATCCTAGGCTGAGGACTACTATTTCACTGAAAGAATATAATGCTGCTACAAAGGGTTTAATGATGCTTTTGAGGCCTGAGAGTAGTAAAGAATGGGATTCTTTCTGGTGGACATACAGGTCTACAACTCAGTCTTAAGCTGACCCTAACACATTGGTTTCCCTCTCTACTAGGTTTCTGTAAGTATGAGCCCATTGCCTCCCCAGGTTTGCGGATGTTTTATGTTCTTATTATCTCTATGTTTATTCTTTATTGAGTAAACATAATTATTCTTGCTTTTGCCTTTTTTTTAGTTAATGTTTCATTTAAAAGAGTCTGGTACACAATAAATTCAAAATGGATATTCATCCTATATGTTAAAGGTCATACTGTAAAAAAAAAATTATGAGAGGTAAATTGTATACTTTTCACAGTTATGGGTAAGAGATGTTTTCATAACCAGACAAGTGATAGAGGAAAATTCAAAAGATACAATAGATCATTTAAATCATATGAAATTGAAAAGCTTCCACATGGACAAAATGAAAGCATCTAGGCTAAGAATGGAAATAGTCAAATGGGGAAAAGACCCTGTATCAAATTTCTAGAATAATGGTTTTGTATCTAAGATATTTAGATAACTAACAAATATATATGACTAAATGCATTACCCAATAGAGAAATGGTCAAAGGATGTGAACAATCAATTCTTTTTTTAAATCAATTTTATTTTCAGTTCTTAATTCTCTTCCTCATTGAGAAGGAAAGAAAAATAAAAACTGTTACAACTGTGTATAGTTAAGCAAAACAAATTCCCATATTATCCATATCAAAGAAAGAAAGAACAGAAAATATGCTTCAAACTGTACTCTACATCCATCAGCTCTCTATCTGGAATTAGATAGCATGTTTCATCATGAGTACTTTGGATTTGTAGTTGATCATTGGTGAACAAACAGTTCTAAATAGAATCGCAAATTAATAGACATATGAATGAAAATATTTTTCATCACAGAAATGCAAATTGAAACAACTTGAGATTTTACTTCATACCCAGAAAACTGACCAAGTTAAAAAAAGATGAGAATAATTAAGGTTGGTAGGGTTGTAGAAAGATGCGTGTACTAATCCATTGTTGGTGGAGCTATGAATAAGTGCAACCATTTTGGAAAGCAATTTGGAATTAAGCAAATAATGTGACTAAAATGTCCATACCCTTTGACTTCAGTTTTCCACTAGGAAGCGTATATTCCAAGGATGTCATTGATAAAAAAGAAAGTATAGATAAGTACTTGATAAATACATTGATAAAAGGAACATTTTTACATAAGTATTTTTATGGTAGCAATAAACTAGAAACAAGGTAAATGCCAGTTGATTGGTGAGTGGCTAAACAAATTGTTATATGTGAATGTAATGGAATATTTTGTGCTGTAAGGAATGAAAATAGAAAAACATGGAAACACTTACATGAACTGATGCAGAGTAAAATAAGTGGAGTCAAGAAGTACATGATTGCAACAATGTAAATTGTAAAGAATATCTAGCAAAAAAACAATTGAAAGTGACTATTGCAAAATTACAAAGAACAAGCATAGCCCGTAAGAAGAGATGTGAGAAGACACCTTCTCTACTACTTTGCAAGAGCTGAAAGGTTTGCAGGTGCAGAATAAAATATTTTCAGATTTTTTTGTGTATTGATGTGCTAATTGTTTTTCTCTCCTTCATATTTTTACTTTTAAATAATAATTTGTTATATGAAATGGGTCCCTAGGAAGTATGGTGGGTAATTAATAAAAACTGAGGAAACAATCCATGATTTATTAGCAAAACAAGAATAATAAATGGGTCAGCTGACATCCCAGTTGGTCCAAAGACCCTGAATATAGGGGGAGATAGATTTTATGTATTAAAAACAATTAATCAAATAAGACTAATTAATTAAAAGAAAAAAATAACAGGATATAAGCTAAGATACAAAATTAGGTAATCTGATTTCTAATTGGAGGAAAGACTAGGGGCTTTCCAAATTGGGAAGGGTAAGAGTAAATTTTGGTTAAGTCGGACGAGGGAACAAGTAGGTTTTAGGGTCTTTCCCTCTAGGATTGACAGATGCTGACTAATTGCAACTACCTACATTTATGAAACAATAGATGACTTATGCCATCTAGTTTCTCATGGATGATTTACAGAAAAACAAGATGGAGGATAATACATGTGGCAACACAAGATTTAGTTAGTATTTGTGAGATAGAATCTAATTGGTTCTCTTGATTCCCATGCCAGACCAACTGCATTTTGTAACTGGTCTTCACTTCATTCCTTTTTTTTTTTAGGCAATTGGGGTTAAGTGACTTGCCCAAGGTCACATAGCTAGTAAGTGTCAAATGTTTGGTCTGAGGCCAGATTTGAACTCAAGTCCTCCTGACTTCTGGGCCAGTGCTTTATCCACTGCACCACCTAGCTGCCCCTTTTATTCCATTTCTTCAGAAGTTGGGGAAAAAGATACAGGGGAAATTTGGGTAAAAACAAAAGATATTCATAATTTTTTAAGAGTCCATAGTTTCATTGTGATTATGTATAACTGGGAAGTATACTAGTGGAAGCTTAGGAAATACAGTGGTAAGTAGTCTGAGTTTATTTCCTTCCCACCTCCACTCTACTAGGGTTACCTCTAGGATCATGAATAAGTTTTAGCAGCATAGCCACCCTTCACTGGTCTTTAATCCTGGAAAAACCCTAGACCTTCCAGTGTGAGGGCATATTGAGGTGAGTAAGGAACCCCAGAGAGAAAGGGTGCAGATGCCATGTTGGACACAATTTCAAAGACTATACTGCCAGTTTGAGTGGGTTCATGACAATGTGTGGGCCACACAGGCATTTTGTAACCCAGATTCCTGATCCTGCTATCATTAGGGCTGTCTCCCTTCTTGGTGGATTTGGTATTTCCATTTCTATGGAAGTGCTATATTCTTTAAGGAGAATGCAAATTCTTTGAGGGCAAGGACTATATTCATTTTGCATTTGTGGCCCCAACTTCTATCACAATGCCTTAACTATAGCAAGAGATTAATAAATGTTGAACATAAGCAGGAATTGTCAAATTAACATTTGAATTTTCATCTTGTCCCATCAAAAATTTGTAAGCTTTTAAGAACACAGCATGATGTACTATCTTGCCTTGTATCATCCTTTTGCCCTATGCTATGCACATGATCAGAATTTGGACCATAATTATTGAGTAAGTGAATTATTTAGTGTCCATTCCCTTTGGATAGTTGGCTTAGTATATGACTTACACAAAAGTGTATAAATGACGGAGCTATGGGGATGTCTTCACCTGTTTCAAAGATTGCAATGCTACAATTTTTTTGCCCTTTATTTTTCAGCAAGGCAACGGGTTCTAAAGCGAGAGAACCATGAGTTACAATTGGCAGGAGGGGAAAAATTGAAACTCACTGTCAAACTGCCTACAGTAAAGGATGGGAATAAAATCAGTGAGAAACCAGTCACCACAAAAGTAAGTATGTCATGGTCTGGGAAGTGGTAGAAAGGCAGTAGGGTATACCCTAAAGAAGTATGCAGTGTAGTAGGGCTATGATGGAAGAAAATGTTTGAAAGGGATATAAAAGTATAAATGTGGCAATAAATGTGAGCTCTTGGATGTATTGAAAAGAGCAAGTGTTGACTTGAAAGGGAATAGAGAAAGCAATAGACTCTGGAGTCACATGGTGGAGAACCTTAAGAGCTAAGCCCAGGGCTTCACATTTAGCCTTTACATTGGTTTGTCCCTCCCCACTTCAGCCTCTTATAATCTGTATCATCCATCCAGATATAGGTCAAGTGCTGCCTTCTATATAAGGCCTTTCCTGACTACCTGAATTTTTAGTGCTCTTTATCTGGAACCATATGATCATAGATTTAGAACTGGGAGGGCTCTTAGAGAAAATCTAGTCCAGCCCCCCCCAGAGGAAATTGAGGTATAGAGGAGTTAAGTGACTTGCTCAGGGTCCCACAGCTTATTATTCAACATACTTTTTTTAGGTGCCTACCAAATGCCAGGCACTGTACTAAGCACAATGGATTCAAATAAGAAAAAGTTAATCCCTGCCTTCAGGGAGTTTATGATCCAAGGAGGGAAGATGCACAAAGGGAACCTGAGAAGTGGTGGTGGAGGGGAGGTACCAGGGGTAACCCAGTGTGAGGGCATTAGGTTTTGTGGAGTTCAAACCAAGCAGAACTACAGATGGAAAGTGGGGAGTTAGTTGGCAAGTCCAGATTCCAACCTTTATTACAGATAAAAGCAAGCTTTGGGAGTTTAGAGCTCTACCCTCCAGCTATCCAATCAGAGAGGAGAAGAGAAACATGAAATACTTGGGAGTCTACTGCCAAGACAATCCCTCACCAAAAGCTGAGATTACTTGAGAATAAATTCCTCAATGCTAAATAATACATTTAAAATTAAATTCACATGTAAAAACAGAGTGGAATGGAAAAGCATCTTGCTTCCTTTTACTCTTTTCTTCCTTGAGCTAAAAATAAAACAAAACAAAAACTGTTCCTCAACCCTTCCTTGTGTGGCACAAATGATTCACCTTCCCATCATTCTTTAACGATTCCTCAGTTAATCAAACTCTTAAATTGGGTACCCAAGACTGAACATAGTACCCCGAGTGTGGTGCGAGTAATGCATAGACTCAGCAGGATTATTATCTCCTTTGTGTCATGAATTTTTGTGGCTTAGGGAAGCTATAGGATTTGGTTTATTTATTCCAATTGTATATAACCAGGCTGGTTCTAATATATCTTCTTGGAGTAGAGGAATTCTTAATATTTGGGTTTTGTTTGGTTTTCAGGAATCCCAGACCAAAGATGGAGCCCAAGAACAAGGTAACATTTAATTCTGAATGAGTATGATATGCAGAAATTAATCATTTCCTTTCCCCATTAAGAAAGGTCAGCATCATCATACCTGATTTTCTATAGTCATCAGGGTGTGCTCAGCTTGGTCATGGTTAAAATACATGATCTGTGATGGAGCACGGTGGAAAGATGTAGAATGGCTAAGGCTAAGTAACTCATTTGGGTCTGTTGCAGTAAACTGATAGAGATTAAGGATGACTTGAAGGTTATGAACATGGAAGTATTAGAACAGGGGTAGTCCTCTTGACAAAAATAGAGAAGTTCAGATGATGGGTTGGTCGGCAGAAAAGATAATTAGTTCTGTCTGGGCATGTTGACTTTGAGATGCATTCAGGCCATCCAGTTCAAAATGCCCAATAGACAACTGTTGGTGTAAGCCTGGAAATCAAAGGAGAGACTAGGGCTGGACAAATAGACCAGGCAGTCATTTGCATAGACATTCTACATTCACATTCTATGTGAATTGGTTTCTTAATGTCAACTTCAATAATGGTCTTAATACTTGAGAGAAAGAACCCTTGGATAATGTGGCTCTTCTAACATATTCCCTTCCTTGTTTGGGTTGCTATAATGAGAATTCTTGTAACTGACGGGCAGATTGGCCTAAATAACCTCTACATTACATTCCAGCACAGATTCTATGATCATGGTTTTTAAAATTTTTTCTCCCTCCCCCGCCCCCCAAATAACTCTTACTCCTAACTTCTTGTTTTTCTATTAATTGTACTATTCTTTCAGTTAGTCAAGCTTAAAATCTCAATGCCAGGTTTTTTATTCCTTCCTTTTCCTCATTGTCCCATATCCCATCAATCACTAAGTCCTGTTGGTTCTTGCCTACTTTCCATCTTTTCCATGCCCACTGTTGACATTGTAAGTGAGGACCTTATTACTTCACACTTGGCTTGCTACAGAAGTCACCTGTCTAGTCTCTCTGCCTCCATTCTTTTCCTCTTCCAATCCATTTTACACATCAATGTCAATAAAATTCTTAAAGTATTGCTTGCATCATGTTGTTTCCTTTCCCACATACCTTCAGAGGTTCCCCACTGCTAACAAAATAAAAGTCAAACACATCAGTCTTTCTTGTCTCTCCACTCAGACTATAAATTCATTGAAGATAGGAATGACAGACATTCTGGTCCCACAACACCTTGCACAGTACCTTACAATCAATTAATCAATCAACCAATCAAACAGCATTTATTAAAGGCCAACTCTGGGCCAGGTACTGCACTAAGCTCTGGGGATAAAAAGACAAAAACACAACAGTCCTTGTCCTCAAGGAGCTTACACTATAACAGGATAACAAATGTACATATATGGAAGAATGAGTGAACAACAAAAAGATTTTATCATAAAGAACTATTGTTGTATAAATTGTTCTCTTGGTTCTGTTAACTTTGCTCTTCATTAGTTCATATTAAGTTTTCCAAGGTTTCTCTGAAACCACTTCCTTCAGCATTTGTTATAACACAATACTATTCTATTACATTTATATACCATAAATTGTTTATCCCAATTTATGTGCACTCCCTCAGATTTCAATTCTTTGCCACCTCAAAAAGAACTATAAATATTTTTGTGCCTTCTTAATTAATGGTTGTTTTGCTTAGGACTAATCCCTTCCCTAATATGCCTTCCCTCTAATCTCTTGTATCTATGATTTGTTCTCAGACCACCCATTCTTTAGGATTCTTATTTAATTTCCAATTAGTTTCTAATCTTTGTTTCAAAAAACGTTTTACTGAATGTAATTTTATTGCATTATGTTCAGAAAAAGATGTATTTAGTGTCTCTGCTTTTCTGCATTTGGTGGTGAGATTTTTATGCCCTAATACATGGCCAAATTTTGTGAAGGTACCATGCCCAGCTGAGAAATAGGTTTGAACCTTTCTATTCCTATTCAATATTTTCCAGAAATCTAGTAAATCTAACTTTTCTAAAATTCTATTCAGTTCCTTAACTTTTTTCTTGATTATTTTATGGTTTGATTTATCTAGGTCTGTGAGAGGGTTAATTGAAGTTCCTCACTATTATAGTTTTACTTTTTTCTTCTATGACTAATTTAACTTTTCCTTTAAGAATTAGATGATATGCACATGGTATGCATATGTTCAGTATGATAATAGTTTATTTTCTGTGGTGTCTTTTAGAAAAATGTATTTTCTTTTAATTTCTTTTAATTAGATCTATTTTTGCTTTTGTTTTGTCTGAGATTACAATTGCTATTCTTGCCTTTTTTACTTCAGCTGAGGCATAATAAATTTTTACCTTATCTTAACCCCATTTGTATCTTTCTGTTTCAAGTTTGTTTCTTGTGAATAACAAATACTATATTTGTTTTTGGATTTTGGTTCCTAATCAATTTTATCATCTTTTATCATTTTATGGGTTAGTTCATCTCCTTCACATTCACAGTTATGATTAATGACTGTGCGTTTCTCTCCATGCTATTCTCTTATTTTTGTATTTTCTTTTTTACCCTGGCCTCCTCAAGAGTCTGTTTTGCTTTTGGCCACTGCCTCCCTTAGTCTACCTTTCCCTCTTATCCTCTCCCCCCTACTTTTCTCTTATCATCTTTCTTCCTATTTCCATGTTGGGTAAGATGTATTTCTGTATTCAGTTGGGTATGTATGTGTACAGTTCCCTTCTTTAACCAATTCAGATAAGAGTGAGGTTCAAGTATCATCTGCTCCCTCCTTCCCACTACTCCCTGCTTTCACTCAGCCATCACATTAATGATAAAAGGCACCTCTTTCTGGTAGGGATAGAAATTTTGCTTCACTATCCTAATGTACTTCTCACAATTGTCTTTGTAAGAAGGATCATCATATAGACTGAATATTGGACCCAAAAGAGGGTCTGTAACATTAAACAAAGAAAAATATCCAGGAGAAATTAATTCTGTCTGTCCTAAGTCATAATCTTCAAAATCAATATAGGCAAGGAGCTAGTTAATCTGATATTCATAGGTCCACAAGCCAGAATGAGAGGACAACTATCAACTTCTTTATCCTAAGCGCTGATTAACTCTTCAGTGGCTGAACTGCTACTCTAAGACAAAGAAAAACCACTTTCTTTTCACATTTCTTAATGTGCTTGAAATGGCTTCAACAGAAGCCAAGGTTAAGTATGAAAGGGTGAAGGATAGTATCTCCAGTTTCTCCTGAAGTTTGTAGCGAAGATCTCCACATAGTCTAGCATGATAGAGAAAAAAAAATTGTTGTATCATATGAGATACATTAACTGTTGGATAAAGAAAGATATTCTTTGATCACACCTTCATATTCTGCACAGTGTTCAAGTAGCTCACTGCTTCAATTGTTGGAGTGCTGTTGATGTGGAAAAAGCAGAAGTCATGGACTGGCTGACCCAGGGTGATGATAAAACTAAATAACTGTCCTCAGCCATAAGGAGAGATCAACAGACACTACCCAGTGAAGGTCAAAGATTTTGTATTTCTAGCAGCACCATGATGTAGGCCTTGCCCTTCAGTGTAAACTACATCTTCCTTTTCCCCTTCTTCCCATTCTCTTTCTTTTCTTCCTTCTTCCAACTAGCAGCATCAGAAGACCAGGACACAAAGCTCCCACTGGAGAGAAGATCAGCCCAGACCAAGGGTATCTCCAAAGGCCCTGAAACTATTTCCTCACTGGTTGTATTTAAAAATATCCAAAACACGATCACAGAAGATCTATTGACTTTGTTGGTGGAGAATGTGAGTGGCTTCTCAGAAACAAGAGGGGACTTTACAGTAGAGATCATACCAGAAGCTGAGGTTGCTGTGGTTACCTTTCTGAAAACCATTGGTAAGAATGGGTTGAAAATCTGAAAGTTTTAATTTGTTACCTTGAGATTCTAATTAGCAAAGGAAAAGTCCATCCCTGAAATTTGCTTTTTAGGAATTTTGGCAAACAATAAATATTCATAAAGTATCTACCATGCTCCAGACACTGTTTTAAGTTCTGTAAATATAAAGAAAACTAAAAGACAGTCCCTGCCCTCAAGAAGCTCATAATCTAATGGGGGAGACAGAAAGCAAATGAATATGTACAAATAAACTATATACAGGTTAATAGGAAATAATGAAAAGATAGAAGGCACTAAAATTAAAAGGAATTAGGAAAGGCTTTCTATAGTAGATGAGGTCTTTCCTTGGGCTGAAAAGAAACCAGGGAAGGCAGTAAGCAAACAGGGGGAGGCATAGCATTCCAGACATAGGGGGCAACCAGAGAAAATACCCAAAGCTAATAGATGGAGTGGGTTGTTTGTGGAATAATCAGAATGCCAGTGTCGCTGGATCAAAGAATATGTGGCAATGGATTAAGTGTAAGAAGACTGGAATGGTAGGAGAGGGCTATGAAGGTTCCTAATGCCAAACAGAGGATTTCGTATTTGATCCTAGGGGTGAGAGGAAGCCACTGGAGTTTGAGTAGGAAGGTAACATGATTGGATTTTCACTTTAGGAAAATCGCTTTGGTGGCTGAATGGAGATGGACTTCAGTGGGAAGAGATCACCGTCAGGCTATTGCAGCAGACAGATTCACCAGCAGACTATTGCAATAGTCCAGGCATCAGGGGATATGGACCTGGACCAGAGTGGTAGCAGTGTCAGAGGAAAGAAATCTATTTGAGAGATATTGCAGAAGTGAAATCAATAGGTCTTGTCAATAGATTGGATATGGACATGAGAAATAGTGAGGAGCTGAGAATTACTCTGAGTTGTAAGCCTGAAGGATTGTGAAGATAGTGTTATCCTCTATAGTAATAAGGAAGTGGTAGTTGGAGGAGGTTAGGGGAAAAGAAAATAGGTTGAGTTTTAAACATATTGAATTTGAGATATCTACTGCATATCCAGTTTGGGATATTTGAAAGGCAGTTGGAAATGTGAGATTGGAGATCAGCAGAGAGGTTAGCATAAGAGATGTGGATTTGAGAATCATTAGCATTGAGATGGTAATTAAATTCAGGGGAGCAGATAAGGTGACCAAGTGAAGTAGCATGGAGGCAGAAGAGAAAAGAGCCCAAAACAGAACCCTATGGGACACCTTCAGTTAGAGAACATGACCTGGATGAGGATCCAACAAAGGAGACTGAGAAGTCTGATAGGTAGGAGGAGAACTAGGACCTATCCTAAAAACCTAGATAAAAAAGAGTTTTGAGGAGAAGATGGTGATTAGCAGTGTCAAAGATTGTAAAGTAGTCAAGGAGAGTGAGACGAGAGAAAAGGCCTTTGGATTTGGCAACTAAGAGATCATTGGCAACTTTAGAGTGAGCAATTTCAGTGAATGATAAGGTTGGAAGTGAGACTGTAAGGGGTTAAAAAGAGAGTGAGAGGAGAGAAAGTGGAGGAACCTGTTGTACAGGATCATTTCAAATAATTTAGCTACAAGAGGCAGAAGACAACACTCCAAGAACTATGAAGAAACAAGATGTATACAAGATAAGCTGGAGGTACTCTCAGGAAGGCACTAAGGATTAAAGAGGATTAGGAAAGGTTTCTTGGAGAAGGTAATACCTTCTCTTAGGCTTGAAGAAAGCTAGGGAAGCCACTAGGTGGAAATGAGGAGAGGGAGAATCCCAAGCATGGTGAATAGCCAGAGAAAATACTCTGAGTATAAGTGCCTCAGGGACCATTTCCTCTATAAATTATTTTATGATTCAGCCAGCTAAGGCTGAATCCTTCTCCTTGTATTTGTCTATTTCTCATATCACTTATTCCGCTCTCTACTGGGTAGTTCTTTGTGTAGGGCTTTTTTCCCCCCAACTTTCTTGAGAACAGGGTCTATGAATCCTTCCAGTTTCTACCACAGAACCTAGAACATAGTGGACATTTTAATCAATATTTGTTGAATTTTGAACTATCAAATGTTGGGCAAGAAGTCAACAGATGCTCTCTGATGTCAGGAACCACCCCTGCTCCTCAAAAAGAAGAAAGCATCCAAGTGTTACATGGACACAGAGAAGCACATTAATTTCAAAATCACAATTATTTCCTAAAGATTTTTAGGTGTGTGAATTTTCATTTAGAAATTTAGCTTTTACTACTGTTTTAACTCTGATATGTTTTTCTTCCACAACTTAAAGCTAAGGATGCAATCACAGTTTGTTTTTTTAATTTTTCTTTGCAGATGCAGAGACATTTATTGCTATTTGTGCTGAGAATCACAAAATAGAAGAACTTAAGATTTGTGCATCACCTCTAGAAGTGACAAGGACTATTCTGGTGGAAGACCTACCCCCAGGTGTTAATGAATATTACATAACTCTTTTCTTTGAAAGCCAAAAAAATGGAGGGGGACCAGTAACCAGAGTCCAATATTTTCCAGAGGAGAATTCAGCCCTGATTCAGTTTGATACATATGAAGGTAATTATATTTATTGCTCACTTTATCTTGTTTGTCTTAAAGTGGTTGTTTTTCTATCATGGGCTCCTTGAAGTTTACAGGATTTAGATTCAGAAGTGGACTAGTCTTCAGTCACCATCTAGTTTAACAGCTTCATTTTGCAGATATGGAAACTGGCCCAGGGAGAATAAGTGACTTACCCAACGAGGTCTTATAGGTATTAAGTGTCAGAGGAACAATTTGAACCCAGACCCTTAAACAGGGGTAAAGTCAGTGATCTTTACGCTTGAATATAATAATAGCTGACATTGGTATTGCTCCTACAGTCATTATGCATTTGTTCCTCAAAATAATCCTGTGAGGTGACTATGTGAGTTTTGGTTTTGTTTTGGGGTTTTTTTTTTGGTGTATTCCTGTGATGTTACTAAATTAGAGAGCATCTACCTGATGCCTAACACATGAGTAGTGCCTTAACAAGACTTAAAGTGCTGGAACTACTCAGTGATTGCTTATTTTCAATTTCTCTGGCAAGTGTGTAGTAGATATCTATCTATTAGATTTTGCAGATTTATGTAGAAAGTTGGCTTTTGCTCTCAGAATATATCAATACTACTTCACCTGAGAGGAAAGAGAGGGCCAATGATGATACATCCCCTGCACACTCACAATGCAAGCCTGTATTGATGGTTAGTGTCCAACAAGAGTACTTCTAAAACTGTATTAAATTTCTCTGATAAGGGTTTGATATCTAAGATATATAAGTAATTAATCAATATATAAATACACATATACATGTGTGTATATATGTATATACATGCATATAAATGCATATACATATAAAACTAATAACTGAAGTAGAGTCAAGATGGTGCAATAAGAGGAAGCATTAAGATCTAGCACTCCTTGACAAATATCTAGAGAATGCATCAGACTGAATTCTGATCAGGAAAAAAAAAACAAGAAAAGGTCACACAGTGAATCATTTTTCCAGCCCAGGGAGGCTGAAGGGACATAGAGAGGTCTGCAGACACTGGGGAGGGGTTTCTAACCAGGAGTATGTGAGTGATACAGCAGTGGGGAGCATTCCAGTGCCCAGAGATGGAGAGAGGACCAAGACAGAGTGCCAGAAAGATATGCCAGGGGATCCCTGAGAACGCACCAATGCAGGAAAGGGTGCCATCTGGTAGCCCTGGCACAGACCACCCAGTGTCTGGTCACAGATCCAGGGCAGAAAGGAGCAGTTGTGAGCAATGATGCTAGTTGCAACTGTGAACAGAACATAGTCCAGGAAGCAAACAGTAACTGTGTGGCTCTGATACCAGGAGCAGAGAGCAAAATCCTAGACCAAAGGAGAAGTGGCAGATCAGTTTCTCTGAGCCTGTAGAGCCTCCCAACTGGCCAATAGTAGCTGAGTCCAGCAGTAATCCGCTGAAACTCCCAACCAGAAACAAGCCAATAGACCCAAACCAGGGTAAGGAACATTCAGGACTGACACCAAGAACAGGCAGGGAGCAGACCTCGCTCCAATGCCACCCCAGATCACACCTTTTTGGGAGCACTGAAAGCTTGCAGGTCCCCAGCCAGAGCTGTGAAAGCAGCAGAAGGATATGGGGACAGAAGTTCAGGACAGCTACCTCTTCCAGAAGTACACAAAGCCAAGCACTAAAATAAAGTCCAAAGTCAAGAAGTAATGCTAGAAGAATGTGCAAAGAAAGAAATTGACTATAAAGAGCTATTATGGCTATAGGGAAGCTCAGGACACAAACACAGAAGAAAAGAATTGCTTGAAAATATCTACAAGCAAAGTTTTTAAGGAAAAAAATGCAGTGAGACTCAAATCTAACAAGAATTCCTGAAAGAGCTAAATTTAGAGTTTCAAAAGGGTCTAAAAATGACTTATAAAACTAAAGAAGAACAATAAAAGAAAGGACGGGAAAAGAGGCAAGAGCTAGTGAAGAAAGATATGAACAGAGTATTAACATCTTGGAAAAAGAAGTACTAAACATTGCTAAAGAAAATAATTTCCTGAAAATTAGAATTGGCCAAATAGAAACTAATGACTCCATGAGGTATTAAAAATAATAAAATCAAGAAAAAAGTCTGAAAAAAGAAGGTAATGTGAAATATCTCTTAGGAAAAACAACTGACTTGGGAAAGATTGGAGATAATTTAAAAACCAGTAGACTACCTGAAAGCCATGAGCGATAAGATTTTTAAAAAAAAAAACAGCTTAGACATCGTATTTCAAGGAATCATAAAAGAAAATTGCCTAGATGTCTTCAAATGAGAGGACAAAGTAGAAATAGGAAGAATCTCCTGGTCACTTCTTGAAGCAAATTCCAAAATGAAAACTCCCAGGAATATTATAGTCAAAATTCAGAGCTCCCAAGTCAAAAAAAAAATGACATAAGCAGCCAGAAAGAAAGAATTCATATATTGAAGAATCATAGTCAGGATCACACAAGATTTAGCAGACACCATAATAAAAGAGTGGAGAGTTAAGAAGATGACATTCCAGAAAGCAGAGGATCTAGGCTTACAACCAAGAATAATCTACCCAGTAAAACTAAGTATAATCTTACTGGAGGACAAATGTATTTATTTTTAATGAAATAAATTACTTCCAAGCATTCCTGATGAAAAGATCAGAACAGAGTAGAAATTTTGACATACAAACACAGGAGTCAAGAGAAATATAGAAAGATAAACATCATTGAAAAATGACTAAACAATGTCAAACTATTTACATTCTTATATGGGAAGATGATATATACAGTCCCTCAGAATTTTGTCATTACCAGGAGTCACAGAGAGAGTCTAATTAGAAAGAATGCCTGGATATGATTTTGCTGATGATGATCCATCTGAAACCAAGAGCAAACATTATTTATAATGAGGATAAGCTAGAAGTTTTCCCAATAAGATCAGGAGTGATATAAGAATATGCATTATCACCATTAATATGTAATACTGTACTAGAAATGCTAGTTATAAGCAATAAAACAAGAAAAGAAAATTCAAAGACTAAGCACAATTAATGAAGAAACAAAAGTATCACTTCTTGTAAATGATATGGTGGTTTTCTTCAAGAATTCTGGGTAGCCAACCTTAAAAAATGAATCAAAACAATTGACAACTTCAGCAAAGCAGCAGCATATAAAATAAACCCATACATATTACCCACATTTCTGTAAGTTCTCAACAAAATTGTTCAGGAAAAGCTAGAAAAAGAAATTTCATTTAAAATAAATATGGACAGCATAAAATACTTGGGAGTCTTCCTGACAAGACACACTGAGGAACTATATGAACAAAATTTCAAAGTACTCTTCACACAAATAAAGACAAAACTAAATAATGGGAAAAATTTTAATTGCTTGCGAGTGAATGGCAATACTCCCTAAACTAATTTGCATGTTCAGTGACATATCACTCAAACTAAAAAATTACTTTACAGAGCTAGTAAAAAAAATAATCACAAAAAGCCATCTGAAAGAACAAAGGTAAAGAATATCAAAGGAAGCAATGAAAAAATAATAGGAAGGAAGGGGAGCTAGCAGTACTAGATCTCAAACTTTTCTGCAAAGATAGACTCATCAAGATAATTTGCTAATGGGGGCAGCTAGGTGGCACAGTGGATAGAGCACCGGCCCTGAAGTCAGGAGGACCTGAGTTCAAATCCAGCCTCAGACCAAACACTTGACACTTACTAGCTGTGTGACCCTGGGCAAGTCACTTAACCCCAATTGCCAAAAAGAAGAAGAAAGAAGAAGAAGAAGAAAGAAGAAGAAGAAGAAGAAGAAGAAAGAAGAAGAAGAAGAAGAAGAAGAAGAAGAAGAAGAAGAAGAAGATAGTTTGCTACTGGGTAAGAAATAAGAAGCTGATAAGTGGAATAGATTAGGTAAATAATATACAGAAGCTAATGAGTACCATAACCTTGAGTTTGATAAACCCAAAGACTCTAGCTATTGGGCATTAACTCACTATTCAACAAAAACTGTTGGGAAAGGTAGAAAATAGTCTGGCAGAAACTAGGTATAGAGCAAAATGTCACACTGTGTATGAAAATAAGCTCCAACTGGGTATATGATTTACACATAAAGGGTGACATAATGAACAAATTAATGGAACACAGAAGAAATTACCTGTCAGATCTATGAACAGGAGAAGAGTTCATGACCAAATAAGAAATAGGCAAGTTTATAGCAGATAAAATGGACAGTTTTGATTGCATGAAATTAAAAAAGGTTTTGCACAAACAAAACTGATGTAACTAAAATCAGAAGAAAAGCAGAAAACTGGAGGAAAATATCTTTGCATCAAGTTTCTCTAATAAAGGTATCATTTTTAAGATATAGAGGGAAGAGAGTCAAATTTACAAGAAAAAGAGTCATTCCCCAACTGATAAATGGTAGGAAGATATGAATAGGAAATTTTTCAGAGGAAGGAATCCAGTCTCTCAATAGGCATATGAAAAATGTCTAAGTCACTAATAATTGGAGAAATACAAATTAAAATAACTTTAAGGTACCATTTCACACTCAGCAGAATGGCTAAGATAACAAAGAAGAAAAATGACAAATGTTTGAGGAACTGTGAGAAAACAGGTATACTCAAGCCCTGTCAATGGAGCTCTGAACTAGTTTGCTATCTCTGGAAAGTAATTTTGAACTATGGCCCCCAAAGCTGGTAAACTATGCATACTCTTTGACCCAACAATATCCCTATTAGTTCTATATCACAAAGAGGTCAAAGGAAGAGGAAGAGGGTCCATATGTACAAAATATTTATAGCAGCTCTTTTTGTGTTGATGAAGAACTGGAAACTGAGGGGATGCCCACCAATTGGGGAATGGCTGAACAAGTTATGATATGTAAATATGATAGGATACTATTATTCTCTAAGAAATGATAAAGGGGAGGAAGATACATAAACTGATGCAAAGTGAAGTGTGCAGAACCAGGAGAAAAAAATCATACAAAAACAGCAATATTGTGGAGACAACTTTAAAAGAATTAGTAACTCTGATCAATGCAATGACCAACCACAATTCTAAAGGATTCACTATAAAATATGCTATCCACTTCCAGCTATGGAGATGTCAGACTCAGTGTGCAAATTAAAACATTTTTTTCTCTTTCTTCTTTATTTTTTGATGTGGCTAATGTGGGAATTTATTTTGCATGATTTGTAATGGGTTTTGTTTTTCTTACCTTCTCAATAGATGAGGGAGGCAGAGAAGGAAGTTAGTGAATTTGGAACTAAAGATGAAATCGAATTTTTTAAAAAGGCTAATAATGATTCCTCAAGAGATGAGTGGTCAAAGGATATGATTTTAAAAGCCTCAAATGAATAACTGCAAAGTATTTGTAACCACATGAAAGAAGACCTCAAATTACTAGTAATGAGAGAAATAAAAACAATCTTGATGTTTCATCTCACACAGTAAAAATTGACAGAGGACAAAAATGGCAATTAATTAATTAATAGTTAATGTTGGAGGAGTTGTGGGATGATAGGCATACTAATTCATTGTTAATGAAATTGTGAAATGGTACAACCATTTGGGAAAGCAATTTGGAATTATACAAGTAAAGTGACTAAAATGTCAAGCCCCCATATACAGCAAAATATTTATGGTAGTACTTTTTTTCTGATAACAAAGAAATAGAAACAAAACAGAAGCCCATAGCTTGGGAAATGTTTAAACAAATTGTGGTGTATCGATGTAATTAGATAGAATTATGCTTTAAGAAATAATGATTGTGGGACAGCTAGGTGGCACAGTGGATAAAGCACTGGCCCCTGGAGTCAGGAGAACCTGAGTTCAAATCTTGCCTCAGACACTTACTAGCCATGTGACCCTGAGCAAGTCACCTAACCCTGATTGCCTCCACAAAGAAAGAAATGATAAGTATGATGAATATGGAGAAGCATAGGAAGATCTTGCATAAAATGTTGCAGAGTGAAGTAAGCAGCACCAAGAAAATAATATACACAATGACTGTTGCTACTCTTGTTCAGTCATTTCAGTTGTGTCTTTGAACTTAGGTCTTCTTGGCTCCAGGCCCAGTGCTCTGTGCACCATAGCTCCACCTAGCTGTCCTCCCCTCCCACATACCCCCCACCCCCCACCAAACACAATGACTACAGCATTGCAAATGGAAACATAGCACACACAAAAATATCAAAAGTGAATGTAACAAAATCAGAAAGATTTAGCATTACTGAAATGAAAAAATATGAGATGATACCTCTTCCCCACCCCTTTATGGAGGCAGAAGGGCCGCAGATATTGCATATTGAACATGTATTTAGATTTTTTTAGTGTATTTTTTCGGGCTTTTCTCTTTATTTTCTTTGAAAAAGAAAATTTTTGTTCTATAAGATGGCTCTCTGAAAAGGAGTGGGGGAAACTGGGGAAAACTATGGTGATATAAAAAAAACAAAGGACATTAATAAAAAATTTTAATACCTTCACATTTACATAACACTTCAAAATTTTCAGAGTTCCTCATAAAAATTTGGCAAAGCAGGTGATAGAAGTATTAAGAGCTCCATTTTACACATGAGGAGCCTTCTCAAGTCAGAGAGGCTAAGTGATTTGCCATAGGCCACACAGCTAGTTAGTGCCAGAACTAGGATTTACACCCAGGTCTCCTGACTTCGTGACTTGTATCCTTTCTCTGCAATACCTTATGCTATCTACCAATATATTCTTGCAAACTTTAGGCTAAGTATCCCTTGCTAAGCACTTAGCTTGTACTTAAGAAACAAATATTTCTTAAATTAGACATTTCAGTGTTATTATCAGTTAGTTTCCAGTGCCATTCTAATAAACTGGCTGTAGCTTGGTAAGTGAACATATTTGGAAGGAAAATAATAAGTTGCAGTGGCATAAAAAGTGTAAATTAACTTTGTTTAGAGTAGAAATGAAGGTAAGGGCTTCTTTCTATAAAAAAAGACAACTTTTTAATTAAAACATCTTAATGCAACCAGTGTTTTTTTAAGAGAATGAACCTTTTAATTTAAAGATTTTTCTTTAATTTTAATTTTATTATTATTTTTTCTTTTTTAGTGCTTGACACCATATTGACAAAGAAGCTTCTCTTCAACAACAGTCCCATTTCAATGTTTCCATACTACCCTACTTTGGGTACTGCTTTATATGGAAAGACAAAGCCACCAGTGAAGCTTCCAGAGCCCTTAACGGTGCCAATGGAGCCTCATCTGTTGAAGTTCTTACAGAAGGATGATAAAAGAATTGGAGAGATAACTAACAGCATGGAGAGGGCTCACTGTGAGCTAACATGGCCCCAACCTAATTGTAAAGAGCCAGAAATTATACCCAGTGCAAAAATTACACTCAGTCCTTCAGCCACTTTAGTCAGCCAAAGAACAAAGAGCAGCATAATCAAGACATGGAGTAAAGATGTTTCTAAGAGATTCTCTTGTCTTATGTCTGAATACCAGGTCACTAAGTATGCAGTAGACCCAGTGGTGTGGGAAGCCATCAAAGACAGCATAGAAAACAAGAGCATTTTGACTGAGTTTGATAAGCCTCAGAAGACAGTGGTCATAGCAGGGAGACTGGAGAATGTGCAAAGAACTGAACCACAAATAAGGAGTCTGATAGAAAAGGCCACCCAAAAAATAGAAAGGGAAAAACAAAGTATAAGAGAGAACTTGACTGTGTGTCCTGGACGGTTTTCCATTTTACAGAACAACAAGTTAGAAGAGACTCTCCACAACGAATACCCAGAGCTGGGAGTCACTTACGATGTCCTCACAAAGAGCATTTGCTTGACTGGATTAGCTACAGATGTGTTCAAAGCAAAGAGTGAAATTCTAGAGAAGCTACAGAGCTTGGCCAAGAAATTTCTCCATTTTCCTCCACAAATCATTCAGTTTTTGCAGCAAGTAAACTGTGAGACATTCTCTGAATCTCTTTTTGGAGCTGAGAATATTCCTGTTGTTTATGAGGTGGAGGGTGAAGCTGTTGTGCTGGTTGGCTCCTCTCCCCAAGTTCTTTCAGAAGCTGAAAAATGTATGAAGAAAGCCTTGACCTGCAAGTGCATCAGTGAGGTAGACAGTTGGATTCTTAATGATTGTCAGTGGAAAACACTCACTGGCAATTTAAATAAGAAATACAATGGCTCCTCAAAGACTGTCATAATAGAACAGCAAACTTCAGGCACTGGAGTTAAGATAATAATTGCTGGCTGTGTTAGTCCAGTGTGTGAAAGCCACCAAGAACTTTGTGAATTTATAGAAAAAAATACAAAAATAGAGGAATTGGTCTCTGTGAAATCTCTAGAAGTTATCCAGTATATGGAGGAAAATAAGCAAATCTGGAAAAAACTAAGGGAAAAAAATGTAAAGGTCAATTTCAAAACCCTGGCCAACCAAAGGGGCATTTCACTGAGTGGTCCAAAAGAAGAAGTAATGAGAGGAGTGGCCATGGTCAAACAAACACTAGACTCAATACATATTAGAAATTTTAGCATTGATAAACCAGGAGCCAAATCCTTATTCAAAGATAGAGAAGAGGTTTATAAAATGGAAGCAAAAAGGAAGTATAGTTGTTCAATTTGGCTACAAGAAGATGGAGACAAGAGCAGTGGGGGCAGTATTGATGGGCAGAAGGTCCACTGCAAGATAACCTTAGAATCTGGCATCTTATTAACTGTTCAAGAAGGTGACTTAACCCAGTTCTCAGTAGATGTGGTGGTGAATGCAGCAAATGAGGACCTAAAGCTCTTTGGAGGCCTGGCAGCTGAACTCTCTAAAGCAGCAGGCCCAAAGCTACAGTGGGACTGTGACCAGATAATCCAGGAAAAGGGTAAGATCCTTCCTGGCCGTGCTGTTGTCTCAGCTGCTGGACAGCTCCCATGTCAGCAAGTGATTCATGCTGTTAGCCCCAGGTGGAAACAAGGACATGCTGACAGATGTGTGCAGTTATTAAAAATTGCTATCACAGAAATTTTTTATCTGACTGGATTTTATGGGCACACTTCAATAGCCATCCCAGCTCTTGGCTCTGGGATCTTTGGCTTTCCTTTAAAAGAGTGTGCAGAAACCATCATCCAGTCCATCAAGGAAAACTTCCAGGACTCCCCAAATACACATAGCTTGAAACAGATTCATCTTGTTGATTCATCTGAGGAGACAGTTAAAGCTCTTTCCAAAGCTGTGAAAAACATCTTTAAAGATCTTTTTCCTAATAACAATTTAATGCCCTGTTCACAATTAGAAGGCCAGGAAACCAATCTGAGAAAAAAAGCTGAATATGGAAACGTGCTGGCTTCCATCCAAACTAGAGAAGGCCTGAGTATCTTGTTGATGAAGGGAGATATTCAGGATGCTGAGGTGGGTATCACCATTTACCCAACAGCCCACAAGGTGATTTTGAAATTGAAGTAGCCTAATTCTGATGTAACTAGGATCATATACACCTCCAGCAAGTTATTCTGGTGAGGCTAATGCAGATTTAGCCTGAGGTTGAAATTTTACTCTCCTGAGTGTGTGGAAGCTAAGTATATCTCAATCTGTAAGCATTTATTAAAGACTAACTATGTAACAAGCACTTTGCAAAGTACTGGTGACACAAAGAAAGATTTTTGTCTCTGATCTCAAGGAGGATACTCGTTAATAGGAGAGCCAGCTAGGTACATAGAATAGACATACAGAATATATGAAGGTTATCTGAAAAGGGAAGGCATTAGCAGTTAGTATGGAGGCAGAGTGGAGGGGGGGACAAAAAAGGCCTTTTGCCCAAGGTAGGATTCAATCTCAGTCTTGAACGAAGCTAAGGAAACTAAGAGGACAAGGTGAAGGGGGTAGAGCATTCCAAGCATGCAGGACAGCCTTTGCAAAGGCACAAAAAGTGGAGATAGTGTTACGTCTGAGGAACTACAAATAAGCCAGTGTATATGAAGCAAAGAGTGCATGATTTTGGGTGAGGTATAAGAAGATTGGAAAGATAGAGAGGGGCCAGGTTATGAAGAGTTTTAGATGCTAAATAAAGAAGTTTATATTGATCCTGAAGGTAATAGGATAAAGGACCAGTGTGACTCCTTGAGCATGGGGGTGACATGGTCAGACCTATGCTTTAAAAAAGTTACCTTGACAGCTGAATGGAAGGTATATTGTAGAAGGGGGAGATCAAGGCAGGGAGACCAGAGAGAAGAGTATTACGGTATTCCAGGCTAGAGGTAATGAGGGCCTGAACTAATGTTATGGCTGTGTAAGTGGAGAGAGGGACTGTATATGAGAGACGGTGTGAAAGAATAAACAATGTTGGAAATGGATTGGATATGAGGAGTAAGTGAGTATGAGGAGTTAAGGATGATAACAAGGTTGCAGGCCTGGATGACTAGGATGATAGTGGTGCCTTCAACAATTTGAGGACCGTTTAGAAGGGATGAGATTTTGGGAGGAAAGTAATGAATTCTATTTTGGACATTTGAGTTTGAGATGCCTGTCCAAGAAGCAGTTGGAAAAGTGTGACTAGCTCAGCAGGAGTGGCAATCATCTACATAGAAATGACAACTGAACCCTGAGCAAATGCCTTGCTCTCATCGAATCACAGAAGAATTGCAGATGCCTTTGAATTTTCTCCTGGGACCAAAATGATTATCCCTTAGATCCCTAATAAACAATATTTCTCTCTAGCTGCTAGGCAGAAAGGTTTTAGAATGAGAGGGAATATAGACATCACCAGTCCCACAAGAAAAACTAAGAAGGGAATGTATTTGAAGGCACAGATCAAGAACACAACCTGTTCTGAAAGGAAGGAGGCAAGAAATTCAAGTAAATTAACCTTTCTGGACTCTATTTTCTTTACCAGTAAAATGGAGTTAATAATAGTTGAGATCCACTTTAAATGACTATTATGAGGGAAGTTCTTTGTAAACTAATGATAATAATACATTATTAATTCACTGAGTCATTTTGCCAAGGGAGACTTGATCAGTTATGTTTTGGAGGTGAATTTACTCAGATCCAGATAGAACCACTTAACCTATAGTGAGAAATATGAATAATGATAAAGATACTTACATTTATATGGCTTTATGGTTTACCAAGTTCTTTTTACATTTGTTGTCTCATTTGAACTCATAATCACCTTGTGAAATAGCTCCTCCTCATCCTTTTCTTCTTCTTCTTCTTCCTCTTCTTCCTCTTCCTCCTTTTTTTTCTTCCTCCTCTTCTTCTTCTACTCCTCTGGCTCCTCCTCCTTCTTCATGATATACTTCATTATACATCATTTGAAGACAGAGCTGGTTGCTTTGATCAAAGTCCTTAAGGCTTTCAAATTTGTTTCTATTTATAACATTGGCACTGTGTAACATGGGGGTCACTGTACTCCTCATCATACCCTTGACCTTGCCATCACCCATATATATATATACCACCTGTACAATCAATAATTCCAAAATCTCCTTAACCCACCATAATCTATTGGCTTTTCATTTCTTCCTCTGCCTTCCCCTACAAAATCCTATTCTTGGGGGCAGCTAGGCAGTGCAGTGGATAGAGCACTGGGCAAGTTGCTTAACTCCATTGCCTAGCAAAACAAAAAAACCTCTTCTTCATCCACACTGTGACCTCCAATCCTCATCTCTTCAGTCCTCTCCCAGGCCATCTCTCCTGAATTAGACACTCTCTCCTCTTTTCCCCATCTTGAACCCTTGGTGAACCAATTCAGCTCTATACTCTCTTGAATCCCTAGTCCCTTTGTCATTTTGCTGATTATGTCCTGCCAAGCCTAAGTCTTACATCCATCCCACAATTTGCTGCCTTTTCTCCTATTCGCATGCTGCTGAGCAAAGACGGAAAAAATCATGCAACCATTCTGACTGGATCCACTACAAATTTATATTGCATAACATCAATGGGGACCTCCTTACCACTAAGCAATCATTCTATTCCTGCCTTATTAACTGACAATCTCACTCTCCATATCAGCTCTTCCAAAAATTTTCATCTCTCCTCAAACCTTCTATGGCTCTCATTCTCCCAATTCTCTCAGCTGAGAACCTTGCCTCATACTTTTTAGACAGTATTGAAGCCATTCACTATGAGCTCCTTCTACTCATCCTCATCTCTTATGATTCAGACTCCTGCCACCATCTCCTCTTTCACTGTGTCTTGTATGACAACAAAGCCTTATTCTTCACCAAAGCTAACCCCTCTACCTGTTCAATCCCATTCCATCCCATCTCCTCCAACAGATCACCCTTTTGGTCATCCACACTCTATCATTTGTTTTCTGTCTTTCCCTGTCTACTAGCTCATTCTCTACTGCCTATAAAATGCTCATGTCTTCTCCATCCTGGAAAAAAAAACCCTCCCTTGATCTTTCCATTCCTACTATTGTCTTATGTCTCTTTTATCCTTTGCAGCTAAACTCCTTGAAAAAGCCAACTACAATGGATACCTCCACTGTCTCTCCTCTTACTCTCTTAAACCTTTACAATCTGGATTCTAACCCTACCATTCCACCAAAACTCCTCTCTTCAAAGTTACCAATGATCTCTTAGTTGTCAAATCCAGTGGCCTTTTCTCAGTCCTCATTCTCTTTGATCTCTCTGCAGCCTTTGACATTCTTCATCACCTGCTCTTCCTTCACATTCTCTTCTGTCTACTTTCCAGGACATAACTCTTTTCTAGTTCTCCTCCAACCTATCTAATTGTTTCTTCTCACTCTCCTTTGCTGGATCCTTATCAAGATTGTGCCCTCTAACTGTAGGTATCCCACAAGGTTCTATCCTAGGCTCTCTTCTCCCTCTATACTATTTCATTTGGTGATCTCATCAGAACCCATAGATTTAATTACCATCTTTATGCTGATAATTCTCAGATTTACCTATCCTACCCCAACCTTTCTGCTGACTTCCAATCTCATGTCTCTGTCTTGCAGACATCCCTAACTAAACTTCTTATGTCTAAAACCAAACTCATTATCTTTCCCCCTAATACCTCCCATTTTCTACCTTCCCTGTTACTATAGAGGGAAATACCATCCTCCCAGCCTCTCAGGTTCACAACCTAGTAGTTATCTTTGACTTCTCATTATCTTTCACCACCCCACATGTCCAATCTCTTGCCAAGGCCTATCAGTTACACCTTTGCCCCATTCTCTCCTCTGATACTGCCACCCCTGTAGTGCAGGCCTTTATTACTTAGACTATTGCAGTAACCTGTTAGTGGTTTTGCCTGCCTCAAGTTTCTCCCTCCTCCAATCCATCCTCCATTCAGTCACTAAGATTTTGCTAAAGTACAGATCTAACCATGTCACTCCCCTACTCACTAAACTCCAGTGCTCCCTATCACCTCCAGAAAAAAATACAAAATTGTCTATTTGGCATTCAGAGATCTTTATGTTCTAGTCATTTCATGCCTTTCCAGTCTTATTACATCTTTCTCCCTGATACACACTGGCACTGGCCCCCTGGCAGTTCCACAAAGACATTCAATCTCTAGGCTGTGGTCATTTTCTCTGGCTATCCCTCATCCTAGAATACTTTCCCTCCTCAACTCCACCTACTGACTTCGACTTCCTTTAAGCCTAAACTAAAATCTCATCTTCTACAAGAAATCTTTCCCCACCCCTCTTAACTCTGGTGCCATTTCTCTCTTAATTATTTCCTAGTTAACCTATATATAGCTTTTTTGTATGTGAATGGGTCACAAGGAGTCAGACATGACTGAAACAACTCAGCAACAACAAAAACCATATTTGTTTGCAAGTTGTCCTCTCACCCCTTTAGATAGTGAGCTCCTTCAGGGCAGGGAGTATGTCTTATACTTCTCATGGTGCCTTACATTTAGCATAGAAGGTCAATGAATGTCTGTTGATATGATTTGGTTTTTAACAAATTCTTTATTTTTTTCTTTAAGACTGATATTATTGTCAACTCCATTTCCTCGGATCCTCCCTTTAATGGAGGAGAACTTTGTCGGGCCATATTGAAGAAAGCTGGTCCATCTCTCCAAGCAGAGTTAAATGAAGTGGGGAAAAGACTGGAAATGAAAACAGGATCTGTTCTCCTGACCAGTGGCTGTAATCTGAACTGCATCTTTGTTCTCCATGCAGTAATTCCTGTGTGGGATAATGGAAAAGGTCATTCACAAAAGGTAGAGAAATATTTAAATGAAGTACCCAAGGCCCCTTTAGCCATGGATCTCCAGAAGCTACTCCTGGTTCTTGAGACCTTATAGATCAGAATCCCTTCTAAACTGTAGCTTGTGAGCCCCACATATAATATGCATATTTATACACACATATGTGTGTGTATTTTTTTTTCCAGGTCATGGAAGATATAGTCAGAGAATGTTTGGACACTCCTGAGATTCTCTCTCTAACATCAGTCACATTTCCAGCAATTGGAACAGGAGTGGCAACATTTCCAAAAACCATTTTTGCTGAATTAATCCTTTCACAAGTGTTTAAATTCAGTTGTACAAGACCTTTGAAAACCCTAAAAGAAGTTCACATTCTGTTGCAGGCCACTGATATAGAAAACATTAAGGTAAGTTCCTTTGTCTCACCTTAAAGCATTTTTGTGGGTAAATTTTAATTTAATCAAAGCGTATTTCACTTAATGTGATTTCTTCCACATATAGGAACTTAATAAACACTTTAAAATTAATTTAAATCACATAATCAAAGTCCCAAACAATGACTCTCTCCAGTCAGAGGGTATAATTGATGGGGATATAGATTCACATCCAGGAAACCTAACCCTATCAAGTTGACCAAACCCTCTTGATCAACTCTCCTCACTCTGGAGTATACCTTATTAATAAGCAAGCAGAATGTTGTACTTGTAAACATGAAATCTTAACAAACATTAAGGAAGGCCTCTCATGGGTGGGGAGATCTTCTATGAAAGATTGATGGGAGATTAGGATCAGGAATCACAATGGGAGAAGGGCTGGATAATGTATGATCTGTACAGTCACCAGTCCTGCTTTGCTCTTATTCCATAATCTAGGGGCCATGCCTGGGAAGATCTAAACCATGCATTCCCTAAGGCCTTTTGTCCTTAACTGCCTCAGTCATTTTTTTTCCATGTTGCCATGTGGCTGTTTATAGGTATACTTACCTTCTCCCCTTCTTTGCATCTCTTTTTCTGAGAACTATAACCAAATCATCACCACCATTCCATCTAGAAAGCATACATTAATAGACCACTCTGTTGTTCTACTCACCATCTTTATGATTTCCTAAAGCAAAATTTTCTACCTATCTACCTCTCCGTAATTTGCATTATCTCCTCCATTAGATTGTAATCTTCTTGAGGGCAAAAACTAGCTTTTCATTTGTATTCTCAGCTCTCATTGCATTTTAAAATTGAGGATCATTCATATTAAGCATTCAACAATTATTTAAATAGATTTTGTCATAAAATTTCCATTAAAATTTTGTTTAATGTAAGAAATCCTTCTATGGCAAAATCTTTGAGGACCACTGCTTAAGTAAGGACAGATAGGTCTACTTGGAAAACAATGCCTATCAAATAGTCTTCTTTTAGGATTCTAAAATTTCTTCTTTAAAATCACAGGAGAACACACATAGAACTGGAAGGGATCTAAGAAGCCACCTAGTCTTATCCCTTCACTTTTATAGGTGAGAAAATTAAGGGTCAGAGAGATTAACTGATTTGCCCAAGGTCACACAGGTAGTAGTAAAATGCACACTAGGGAATTAGCATAGGTACTCTGACTCCAAATACAGCGTCCTTTGAAATCTAGTCCTGGCTCTACTACCTAAAAGATTAGCTTCCTTTATTTTTCTTCTCCAAGATTTAAGAATGGAGTTTCTACTGGGACTATGCATTGTAATGAATAATCATCTAAATAAATCTTTGTTTACTTGAGGGGTGTATTTGGTAAAGAATTGGATTTATATTTCTACCAAGAATTGTTGTACTAAGTAGTTGTGTTTCTATTTCTAGGCATTTTCGGATGAATTCATTAGATGGGATAGTCGAAATAGAAATGGAAATCCTACCAGTTGCAGAGTTGCCAAGACTATTGATAGACAAGGTCTAGTAAAATTATTCTGTTAAAGAATTTACTGTTGCTTACTAAGCATTTGATAGTAGTTAAAATTCTAAGCAAAGTAATGATGACCCAAATGAAGAATAAAACATCAATAGAGAAGATGGCAAAGCTCATACAATGTTCCTTGCTGTATTCTTTCTTTGATCTGAAAGCTCTGGATTTTCATGATGTCATCCCTGGGAATTTTTATTTTGGGGTTTCTTGCTGGAAGTGATCAATGAATTCTCAATTTTCTTTCTGGTCCTAAGCATTATAGGCAGTTTTTATTTATAATTTCTTGAAATGTCACACCCAGACTTTTTAAATCATGATTTTCAGGGAGTGTGCTAGATCATCTGTCTTTGACCTGTTTTCCTTTTCATATCTTTGATATTATATTTATTACATTTACTTTTGTTTTTGAATATTTTGTTATACATACATACGTGTGTGTGTGTGTGTGTGTGTGTGTGTGTGTGTGTGTGTGTGTGTGTGTACCTTATTGGTCACTACTTTCTGTCCATTCTAATTTTCAGGGCATTCAGTTCTTCAGTGAGATTTTCTAATATCTGTTCTAATGTTCCAATTTTCCATGCTGTTTTTTCATCCTTAGTATTTCCATTCTATATCTCTCATTTATTCCTTCCAGCTACTCTTGCACTTCCTATGGCTATGACATGTTTTTCTTTAATCATGCCCCTGGACTTATTGAGAAGCTGCTATATCCTTGGGGTATCCAAGGTATTTCTTATGTTATTCGGGTTTCCTTGTTTTGCATATCTCTATCATCTACCTCACTATCTAGGTTGGGGTCTTGACCTGGGGTTAAGCTCCACAATTTAATGTCAGAAGTAGGGACTGCTTAGCTCTGAGTATAGTGGCCCAGAGAAAGCCCTATTTCAAGGGACTCCAGGTCTGGGCTCTGCCTAGCAATTTCCTCTTGCCACAGAGCTCTGGGACCTTATCCTGCTGAAGGCTCTACCTGCAGATGTCAGGGTTTTTCCTCAATGTTTCTGATATCAAGCCAGGAATGCCATGATAGACCCCCTGTGAGTCTACAAGGTCTGCCTGCATGCCATCTTCCACCTCTCCTGGCTTTTCTATCCCGGAGTTTCCATAGGACTCCAGGGATGGAGCCCTCAGTTGGATAGGGGAGTCTAGAGGTGATTCTTCTTATTTCTTTCCAGATTTATTTATTTATTTTTATTTAATATTTTATTTGCCCAATAACATGTAAAAACAATTTTAACATTCATTTACAATTTTCTGAGTCCCAAATTTCCTCCCTCTCTCCATTCTCCCCCTCAATTGAGAAGGCAAGCAATTTGATATAGTATACATGTGCAGTCATGCAAAACACGTTTCTTTGTTAGTCATGTCGTGAAAGAAAACACAGATTTAAAAAAATAAGAAAAATAAAGAAAATAAAGTATGCTTCAATCTGCACTCAAATCCCATCAGTTCTTTCTCTGGAGGTGGAAGCATTTTTCATTAAAAGTCTTTCAGAACTGTCTTGGATCATTGTATTGCTGACAACAGCTGTGTCATTCACAGTTGATGATCATACAATATTGCTGTTATTGTATACGATATTCTCCTGGACCCGCTCATTTCACTTTGCATCAGTCCATGTAAGCCTTTCCAGGTTTTTCTGAGAGCATCTTGCCTGTCATTTCATATATTCCCTCACATTCATATGCCACAACTTGTTCAGCCATTCCTCAACTGACAGCTATTTCCTTAATTTCCAATTCTTTGCCACCACATAAAAAGCTACTATAAATATTTTTATACATATAGGTCCCTTTCCCTTTTTAAAAAAAAATATCTTTGCAATATAAACCTTGTAGTGGTATTGCTTGGTCAAGGGTTATGCATGATTTTATAGCCCTTTGGGCATAGTTCCAAATTGCTCTACAGGATAGTTGGATCAGTATACTTCACCAACAGTGGAGTAGTTTCTCAATTTTCCCACATCCTCTCCAACAGTTGTCATTTTCCTTTTCTGTCATATTAGCCAATTTGTGGGGTGGTAGCTCAGAGTTGTTTTAATTTGCATTTCTGTAAACAATAGTGATTTAAAGCATTTTTTCATATGACTATAGATAGCTTTGATTACTTCGCCTGCCTGAAAATTGCCCATTCATATCCTATGACCATTTGTCAATTGAGAAATGGCTCTTATTTCTATAAATTTGGTTTAATTCTATATATATTTGAGAAATGAGGTCTTTATCAGAGAAACTTGCTATAAAATTTTTTCACAGTTATGATTACTAACTCTGTATTTCCCTCCATCCTATTTCCCTCCTGTTTATCCCACTCTCTTTCCTTTCATCCTGTCCATTCTCAAAGTTTTTTTACTTCCCCCAATAACTCTTCCTTCCATAAGTACGCTCCCTCCTCTTATCTCCTTTCCTTTGTACTTTCCTGTAAGATAAGATAGATTTCTATATCCAACTGAGTATGTATATTATTCCCTGTTTGAGCCAATTCCAGTGAGAATAAAGTTTATGCTCTCCCTCTACCACCACTCCTATTTCACCCTCCACTGTAAAAGTTTTTTCATGTCTCTTTTATGTCAAATAATGTACCCCATTCTACCTCTCCCTTTCCCATTTTCCCAGTGCATTCTTTTTCTCACCCTTTAATTTTTTTTTAGATAATTATCCCATTTCAGACAAATATCCCATTTCATATGTGAGAAATAATTCATTTGGACCCCTACTCTATTCCAATTAGTAGTAATCAATCTGATATGATTCTAGAGGAGTAGTGATTATAAATTCTGTGTATTAGGCCCCAGAGCTATGAGCTGCAGATTTTAAGTTCATATACTTAATCATAGGAAGCTAACTAGAAGCCTTTTACCCTTGTTTTTCCTTGTCATGGTGACCAAGCACAGTGTGGCAGAGACGATTCAACTACATGGAAAACCTTCCATTTTATTTTTGCAACCCTGGACCATTTCCTCTTGTCCAACACAAGTAGGTCACCATCTTATGACTATTTAGTCAATGGAGATGCCCCATGCTTCACCAAACCTATGAAATCCCCCCCGCCCCGACTGATATGTCAATTTTGATCCTCAAGATATATCAAGCAATGAGATTCTGTATTTCACCATGCTTCTTTTACATATTTGGGTACCAAATTTTACAAGGCCCTGGAAGAAAGGGCATCTCAAATCATGAGGAAAATCTGAGTTCTACTTTATTAGAGAGGACCATGGACCCTTTAATAAAGTGCAATTGGCTCAGAGCTTTGCCTCACTGTCTTTTATTGTAGGGTGGACAATTTTAATTCCTACAATATTTAACTTACACACATTTCCTCTATGTAGATTTCTAACTGCCCTAATAATGAGAAAGATTTTAAGACTTACAAATACAATTTTTCCATGTAGGAATGTAAACAGTTTAACCTTACTGAATCCCTTATGATTTCTCTGTCCTGTTTACCTTTTTATGCTTCTCTTGAGTTTTGCATTTAAGTCAATTTTTCTATTCAACTCTGGTCTTTTTACCCAGAATGCTTGAAAGTCCTCTATGTCACTGAATTTCTATTTTTCCCCAAATGATTACATTCAATTTTGTTCAGTAGGTGATTCTTGGTTGTACTCATAGCTCTTTTGCTCTCTGGAATATCATATTCCAAGCCCTCCAATCCTTTCAATAGAAACTACTGAATCTTGTGTTATCCTGAGTGTGGCTCCATGGTATTTGAATTGTTTCTTTTTGGCTGCTTGTAATATGTTTTCCTTGACCTGGGAGCTCTGGAATTTGGTTATAATATTCCTGAGAGTTTTCATTTTGGGATCTCTTTCAGGAGGTGATTGGTGGATTCTTTCAATTTCCTTTTTACTTTCTGGTTCTAGAATATCAGGGCAGTTTTCCTTAATGTCAAGTCTCTTTTTTTTAACGTGGCTTTCAGGTAGCCCAATAATTCTTCATTTATCTTTCCTGGATATGTTTCCAGGTCAGTTGTTTTTCTAATGAGATATTTCATGTTTTCTTCAATTTTTTCACCCTTTTGATTTTGTTTTATTGTTTCTTGATGTCTCCTAAAGTCATTAGTTTTCACTTGCTCAATTCTAATTTTTAAGGAATAATTTTCTTTTTTTTTTGGAAGGAATAATTTTCTTCAGTGAACTTTTGTATTTCCTTTTCCATATGGCCAATTCTGCTTTTCAAGGTGTTTTTCTCTTCATTAGATTTTTGGGCTTCTTTTACCATTTGGCCTATTCTGTTTTCTTAAGGTGTTACTTTCTTCAGTATTTTTTGTGCTTCCTTTACCAAGCTGTTGACTCTCTTTTCCCCATGTTTTTCTTGAATCACTCATTTCTTTTCCCAATTTTTCCTCTACCTCTTTTACTTGATTTTGAAAATCCAGCCTATTTCTTCACCTTTAACTCTATGCCAAAGTGGGGCTCTGCTTCTGGAGTACAGGGGATAGTGTTTTAAGCTTTAGGTTTTTGGTGCAGCTGTTTTCAGAGGTAATTCTAGGGACCTGTAAGTTTCAGTTCTTCCAAGGTGGTATAATCTAGGGAGAGGTGTGTTTACTACTCTTTGGCCTGTACTCTCATCTATGAGCAACCACAAGCACTCTTTTACACCCTTGAACTGTGATCCCACCTCCCCTATGGCCACAAGCTCTGGTGTGATAGTGCTCCTCCTTGCCCTGGGGCTAAGACCCAGGGCTATGACTCAGATTCAAGTATGGGCAATGCAACAGAGTCTGGCCTCCTAGTGCCAGCAAAGTGACCTTGTAATTTCCTTCTAACCTATTGTCTTATCCCTTTACTGTCTGTGGGCTGGGAGGTCCAGAAACTGCCACTGCTGCCAGTGATTCAGTCAACCCCAAAGCCTACTGTTGGTTTGCTAGAGCAAGGACTGCACTGGACTGTTCTCCACTCTTACCCCAATGCAACAGATCTTTCCCAACAACCTTCTAAGTTGCCATGGGCTGGAAAATTGGTTTCACCCCTTCCTTTTGTGGGTTCTGCCACTCCAGAACTTGTTTTGAGGCATTATATAAAGTATTATGGAGGGGTTTGGGGGAGAGCTCAGGGGAGTCTCTGCCTTTTCTCCACTATCTTGGCTGTGTCTTAGATTGATAGATTTCTAAGCCTCACTGAATAGTTTTCAGGGGATCTGGGCTCCTATTTGTCCTAGCATGCCACCATCTTCCTCAAATCTCTACAACTACAATATTCTTAGGCTTTTAGACACTAGTCATATTTATTTGGCATGAGTCAATCAGATACAAGACCAATTTGCCTGGCCTATTAAATTGTCTAAACTCTTTTATTAACCCCATAAAGGCTGAGACTAGTATTTTCTCAGTTGGGAATGTATGATTTCTATATAGATGAACTTAAACTTAGCTAACCAAATATTTCTGTCTCATCAAATTTCACTGTGCTGATACATAAGAGAAATGGAATTGCACAATGGATGGAGAGCTAGTTTTAGAATCAAGAAGACTTGTATTTAAGTTCTACCTCTGACACATACTGACTCTGTGATCATGATCCAATTATTTATCCTCTCAACGCTTCAAGAATTCTCTAATACTAGAATTAATTTATGAGTTGCCAGTCTACATCAGTAAATAGGATCTCTGTGTTAAAAGTTCCTGTCTTGTGAATAATCATAGGTTGGCAGGGGGAAGGAGACAGAGAAAGATTGGGGAAGGGGAACACCCATCCAATTTCCTGAATCTTTTCAAACAAAAAATCTTTCTGTTGGGTCTTTGAAATTAAAGTCAAGAAATTTCTTGAAGAGATAAAGGAAGGAATAAGAGAGAAACATACAATAAAACCTTATAATATTAGTCGCAGGATTCATCTTGGTGTCTTGTTTTTCTTATTTTCTCTTTAGATTTCTTTGGGACTATTTCTAATACTACACCTGGAGTTTATGAAACAACCATTGGTTCTATTTCCTTTGTAGTTGCCTCTGGAAATATTACTGAGGAACAAGAAGATGTTATTGTAAACTCTACAAGTGAAACATTCAACCACAAAGGAGGTATTATATGAATTGTTATTGTTGCATAAGCTATATCAATGGCTTAAGACACTTGCAGGACTGAAGTAAATTAGACTGAATTTTGATTCAATAAGACATAGAATGAGAAGACCAGAACTTAACTTCTGGATTTGCCACTTACTAGCTGTGTGCTCTGCTTATGCTTTTTCTTCTCTCTGGGCCCCAATTTCCTTATCTGTAAAATTAAGTGGGGGTGGGTGGGTGGTTACAATGCATGATCTTTAAGGCTTCTTATATTTTCAATATTTTATACTTCTGTTATTCATGCTCATTCTTATTATGATTTTCTTGTCTAGGGGTTTCCAAAGCCATTTTAGAAGCTGCCGGACCAAATGTGGAATTGGAATGTGAACGATTAGGTATGGCATCCATGTTTATATTTCAGCCTTAATCTAGTCAAAATGAAAGGGTTGGGTGTGTGACAGGAGGATGTAGGAGATGATCAGAGCAAATAAGAAGTCTTTTAAGAGCCAGTGTTCCATACAAAAGTGTCATTGTGATAATTTCACTTTAAATTCAATGTTGAATATATGCATGATTGTGAAAAAGTAACCACATATGATATGGTTTGAGACACATTTATTGGTTCCTATGCTCCCAAATTTATTTTTTACCAACTTACCACAATATCTAAAACTTTTAAAATGAAAAGAGGTTGACACTAGGACTGTTAGCTAGGAGAGTTCAGGGATTATAACATATGCAACAACTACAACTCTAGCCTTGAAAAACTATTTGACTGAGGCCAAAGGGGGAATTCATCCTTACTCCCTCTCAACTCTGGTGTCTGGCACACTTTTTTGGCCCATGTTTGTCCTAGGGGCCCTGCCTCTTCCAAAGGGGCTCCCTTTTGTCACCATTTATTGCCTCATGAAATCTTCCATCATGGCTACCACATGGGATAGTTTTAATTATAATAAATTAGATTATAGCTCATAATTACAGAGAAGTAAAAGGGGAAAGTAAAAAAAAATGTACTTTATAAAATGTTGAAGAGGTTATCTGACATGTAATTTATTTCTACATAAAAAAATGCTACAAACAAAAAGACTCACAAGTACACATAGGATTCAGGAATTCAACATATAATAATAGTTACAGTCTTCTGGGATGCTAATCTGTAATCCTCATCAGATCATAGAACAGGTTGCAGGATTGCTAACTAGCAATTTTACAATTCACCTCTGCTTGGTGCTGTTTGATCAAATATATGGGGGCTAGCCTCTTTCTCCAATTGAGAAACTAGTGTAGTAGCCAGGGATCCTTCTCTGATGCCATTTGGTTTTTTTCATTGGACTTCAATATCTCTCTATCTTTCAAACTCCAAGATCACCTCCTAAATACATCCACCTGGAATATATGTTCCCATTAGATCAGGCAAGAACAAAAGCAAAAGGGGCAAAGGAGATTAGGGCCCCAAGTGAAAGCTTACCTAGTTAAATACACACACTATATAAGGAGTGAAGGCAGGGTCACCAAAATATGAGTGAGGCACAGATCCTTCATTGAATTCACAAATGCCACCTGGAGAATCCAAGAAGGACTTCTATTAAAAAGGTCCATTGAATCTTCAGCTCCTTTGGCTTGAAAACCATTAAAGAGTCTCTTCACCCTCTCAGAGCATGAACCATTTAGCCCTGATTCATACATGGCCAATAGCAAACAATGCAGGTTACTGGAATCAATCTTTGTTATGTAACTATGGTGATAAAGTCAACTTGAAGAGTCAATAAAACTCTGTCAATAAAAAAAAATGAAGAGTCAATAAATTATCATACTAATACTTATAGCACTATTAGCATCAAAATTAAGGTCAAAACCCTCCTTTTTTAAAACAGGTATAAACAATTTTTTTCTTGGAATGTTCCTTGCACAGAAATTTAAGCATTTTTTGGGAAGTATCTATTATTTTTTAAAAGGATTAAATTTGTCTACTAAAAAGAAAATATCCTTTGACCCAAAGATTCAACCACTATGCTTTTACCCCAAGGAAGCCATTGATAAGAAGAAAGTCCCAATATATACCAAATTATTTTAGCTGTACTTTTTGTGATGGCAAAGAATTGGAAACAAAGTAGATGCTCATTGATTAGGGAATGGATAAACAAATTGTGGCACATAAATATGATGGAATAAGTACTGTAAGAAATGACGAACATGATGAATACAGAGAAACATGGAAAAACTTACCTGAACTGGCGCAGAGTGAAATAAGCAGAACCAAAATAACAATATGGAAAATAACTACAATGATGTAAGTAGAAAGAACAATCAAACACACACAAAAAAAGTCAAAAGCAAGTGTTGCAAAATTACAAGGAAAAAGTATGGCTCAAAAGAAGACATATAAGAAGGCATTCCTGCTCTAGTCTTTTGCAGAGGTAGGAGACACACAAGTGTGGCACATTTCATGTATTTTCAGACTTTTTAATGTAAAAAGTTTTGTCTATTTTTTCTTTCTTTTTTGTTGGAATATTATTTGTTATAGGAAATATAGCTTTCTGTGAAGGTGAAAGGGAAGGATCATTTCTATGATGTAAAAAATATAAAAGACTGATAAAATTTGATTAAAAATAAAAAAGACAATTAAGACAGGATGGAGCCAATATAGTGGAGTAAAGGCAGCAACCTAGTTGATCTTTCCTCCAAACAACTTTAAAATAAAGCCTTAAATCAAATTTTTGAACAGCTGAACCAACAAGAGGTCAGAGTAAGATATTTTTCCAACCTGAGACAACTTAGGAGGTGACAATTCGGTAGGAGCTGGCCCAGAATGCAACAGGAGCACCCATGGAGGGCCTTGGAGGTAGCTGCTATTACAGTGGCAGCAGCAGCAGCAGCAGCTTCAGGAGCTCTCAGCACAGAGATGGTAAGGATGGGTTAAATAACTGGTCAGAAGGAGAACACAAGGGACTCTTTGCTGGCACTAGAAAAAGGGCCCAGCACTGATTAGCAACTACATTGCCCATAAGCAGTTCTGGATGGAATTCCAGAGTGGAGAGGAGCCTTCTCAGTCACAAAGGAGCAGGGGCCCTGGTTAGAGTTCCAGGACCAAGAGCAACACTAGCACTTGCAGCTACAGGGGAGCAGGAGCCCTTCCTGGGTAAAGACCACAACTGTCTCCAGATCACTTAACCCCTACAACTAACTATGAAAATAGCAGTACCAAAAAAGCCTGAAGCTTGGGACAGTGCCTCCCCACCCCATATAAGCAGAGCCCAACTTTAACATAAAGTTCAAATTCAAGAAATAAGCTTGAAAATGAGCAAACAATAAAAAAAAAAAGAACTTGACCATAAAAAGCTAATGTGGTGGAAGGAAAACCAAGACATAAACTCAGAGGTAGAAATCAAAGTGAAATCATCTTTAAAACAGAGCCTCAAAGAAAATGCTAATTGGATCCAAGCCCCACAAGAACTCCTAGAAGAGTTCAAGAAAGAGATAAGAATGGTAGAGGAAAAATTGGGAAAAGAAATGAGAGTAATGCAAGAAAATTATGAAAAGAGCAACTTTGTTAAAGAAGGACCCAAAAAAATGGTGTAGAAAATAATACCTTAAAAAACAGAATTGGCGTAATGGTGAAAAAGGCATAAAAATTCAATGAAGAAAAGAAGTCCTTAAAAAGAAGAAATGGCTAACTGGAAAAAATATACAAAAGCTAACTAAAGAAAATAATTCCTTAAAAATTAGAATTGGGTAAGTGGAAGCTAATGATTCCGTGAGACATTAAGAAACAATAAAATAAAGTCAAAGATTGAAAAAATAGAGGAAGATGTGAAATATCTAATTAGAAAAATGAGTAGAGGCAGCCAGGTGGTGCAGTGGATAGAGCACCAGCCCTGGAGTCAGGAGGACTTGAGTTCAAATCTGGCCTCAGACACATAACACTCACTAGCTGTGTGACTCAGGGCAAGTCACTTAACCCTAATTGCCTCACAAAAAAAAAATGAGTGACCTAGAAAATAGATTGAGGAGAGATAATTGAAAAATTATTGCACTACCTGAAAGCTGTGATCAAAAAAGAGCCTAGACCTTATATTTCAAGAAACTATGAAGGAAAACTGCTCTGATATCTTAGCTCCAGGTGGTAAAATAGAAATTGAAAAAATCCATCAATTTCCTCCTGAAAGAGATCACAAAATCAAAACTTCCAGGAATCTCATAGCCAAATTCCAGAGCTCCCATGTCGATGAGAAAATATTGCAAACATCCAAAAAGAAATGATTCAAATATCATGGAACCACTTTCAGACTCACACACAATTTAGTAGTTACCACTCTAAAAGAGGAGAGGGCTTGAAATCTGATGTTCCTGAAGGCAAAGGAGCTAGGATTACAACCAAGAATCACCTACCAATCAAAACTGAGTGTAATCCTTCAGGGGAGGAAGGATATTTAATGAAATTAATGATTTTCAAGCATTCCTTTTCTTGTAATTATTTATTTATAAAAAAAAAATTTCCCCTGCTACAAGTAAAAATAATTTTAATTTTAATTTTTAAAACTTTGAGTTCCAAATTCTCTCCCTCCCTCCCTCCCCACCCTTATTCATTGAAAAGGCAAACAGTTTGATATAGATTATATATGTTAGTCATGCAAAACATATCCATAATAGTAATGTCAGTGAAATTAGTAAAATATTAGTGAAAGAAAACATAGACAAAAAACTTAAAGAAAAATAAACTTTAAAAAAAAGTATGCTTCAATCTGTATTCAGACACAATCAGTTCTTTCTCTGGGGATGGATAGTATTTTTTCATCATAAGTCCTTCAGAGTTGTCTTGGACCATTGCAGTGCTGAGAATAACTAAGTCATTCACAGTTGATCATCTTACAACAATGCTATTACTTTGTACACAATACATCCCACTTTGCCTCAGCTTGTGCAAGTCTTTCCAGGTTTTTCTGGAAAAACCTTTTCAGGTTCATCATTTCTTATAGTACACTAGCATTCCATCATAATCATATACTATAACTTGTTTGGGCATTCCCCAATTAATGGGCACCCCCTCAATTTCTAATTCTTTACCCCTAGAAATAAGCTGCTGTAAATATTTTTATACATGTAGGCTCTTTCCCTTTTTGTTTTTTATCTCTTTTGGAATACAGACCTGGTAGTGGTATTGCTAATTCAAAGGATATGCATGATTTTATAACCCTTTGAGCATAGTTCCAAATTGCTCTATAGAGTGGTTGAATCAGTTCAAAACTCCAATAGTACATTAATGTTTCATTTTTTCCCATATCCCCTCTAACATATTTCATTTACCTTTTCTGTCCCATTAGCCAATCTAATATGTATGAGGTAGGACCTCAGAATTATTTTAATTTGGATTTCTCCAATCAGTGAGTTAGAGTAT